AACCAACTGAACCATCCAGGCATCCTGCAAAAACCACATTTAAAAAGAAACACGGTGCACTGTAAATTGCAAAGTTCTTCAAGTAGACAGAGAAGCCATCCTTAATTTCCAAAACAACAGTTTGGCCAATGGCATTAATGAACAAATATCCTTCAAATCAGAGCACAAACAGGACACAAGTTTTATCTAGTTCCCTTCACCGACTTTGCACCCAAGGCAGACACTCCCCACTCCCCATCAGGCAAGGTTTGCAGTTGATGCTTACATTTTGGAATGGAAGAGAACCAGAGCAGAAGTTTTACCAGGGAAGGTACCCCCAGGGGCCCTCTCCTGGCCTGGCCTGCTGGACAACACACAACCACACCCCATGGGCCTGTTTTTACACTCAGGTGCCAGGAGGGAGGGCACAACTTGTCCCGGCTGAAGGAACTTCAAACTTCAGTCACTACTCTAAGAGGCCTTTGCTCAATTCACTACAGGTGTGTGTGTTCGTGTGTATGGACAGAGCACGGAGGACTGCTGGCCTCCGGGAACATTTCTACCCTCCTGTCACATTTCCTGGCACAGGGGGTCCTCATGGGCCCCTGGACCCGGGACGTTGTGATGAGTAGAAGACATGAAGCCCCGATGCAGCAGGGCACAGACACAGGGCCACCTGTGTCACATATCAGACATTTGTTACCCCCGTTACACACAGGAGAGAACTAAGATTCAAACAGGCTAGGTGCAGGGCTGGGATCCGGCCCCAGCGTGTGCCCAGTGCACCCTGTCTCCTGAAACAGTCATCAATACACATACGACCACTGCAAGTTCCAGGTCCTGCCACATAGGCTTGTTTCTCAAAATGTGTTACAAATTCCAATTATTTTAAATCTAAACCGACTAAAACCAAACACCAAAATAAACGGAGTTTTTCCACTGGAAGCACTACTAAACAGTAGGTTAAGTAGAAGTTAACTCAGTTGTTGGGTTATTTTTAACTTTGTAAACTAACAATTACCTTGAAATAGTTTCCCTGCGTTCCCAGTATCTACAAATTAGTGATAAAATGTATCTCAATTTGGCAAATGAAAGCACATTATAGCTTTTAAAGAATAGCACATAATGGTCATTTAAAGCAATTAATTTGTACACCGAGCACTTTTCAAAGCGCACGTGTACACCACTGTGCGTCACCCGCTGCCGGGTCCCAGAGTCCAGCCATCTTGGACCCCTGCTCTCAGCTTTTTGTATAGAAGCTGGTCAGTCTCAGGTCCCACGATGAAGACTGCAGCCAACCCTACAGCCCTAGAACAAGAAAACATGACAGACGTCACTAGTGGGTCCGCTCTGGTCTTCAAACCTGACATCCTCATTGGATCTTCTCATTCGGGGAACCCTGTCCTCCTTCACACCTGGTCTGTGTCTGCTCTTTGGGCCAACCAGGCCTTGTTGAGTCTCTAAGAGGTTCCTTCACCCATGTGCCCTAGTGACCCACAGGGCCTCACCCCTCCTAAGCCCACTCTTACCCTCCGCCGTCCTTATGATAGCCCCTGCCCCACAGATGTCTTATTCCCTCCCCCTGCCCCCACTCTCTAGCCCCACACCTCCAGGAGGTCCGGATTGCCAAGCCCATGGCTCCCTGTGGAACAGGACACTGGTGACATTCTGAGTCACTGTCCTTTTCCTGGGGCCGGCCCCTCTCCGGGCACTCTGCTTGGTGCCCTCTTTTTGATACCGGCGTTCTCGAGGAGCCTCGGTTCCGCCCCACTCCATTCCTGAGCACAACCAAGTCACCGTGAGTTCCTTCAGTTCTTTTCTTGGAGTCTTCACCTGGAAAGCTCCAGAAGCCACTCTCTGCTCACCCCTCTCCAGTCCTCACCTTCAAGAATGCTATCTCTGATTTAGTGAGAAAATCTTCAAACGTGACATTGCCAAACTTAACCTGCAGGTGAAAACGTGCCCCAGAAGAGGGAGGGCAGAGCTGTACCAGGTACAGACTGGCAGTTAATTTAGCACCGGAGCAAGATCCCTTTTCCAAATAAACACAATTATAGTGTCAAATGTTAAACAGTTTAGGGCAACAGCATACTTGTTCTACGTATGTATGGCTATCAGATATTCTAGGACTTTTCTGATCAAAAATACGTCAAATTCACTTGACATTTCAAACCACTTTAACAACTGTTAAGACCCATTTATTTTTATTTATAAATTACACGCACTTTGCTACCACAGCAACAATAAAAGCAACAACACACCCAGACATTCCTGCCCAGCCAACCTTCCTAAAACACTTTGCTGCCCCCTTCCACCAGGTACCGAGACAAATACGGACCCTGTTCTCAAGGACATTCTTCATTCTGTCACGGACCACCTTCAAAATGCTCCCCAAATAGGCCCAAGGTCCCTTCCAGCCTAAATTCTACCTTCTCCAGCACCAGGCTGCTGGCCCAGGGACACCCACAAGGCCACCTCCACCTGCTCACTTCCAGGAGCTTCCCCTCCCCCACTGGAGCCCAGGGACCTTCCACTGATCTCACCTCAAAGAACTCCCCAGTGTCAGTAACACCTGCACCTCCAGTGAGTGAGATGCTCCCAAAGAGGAAAAAGTTTGCATTTCTGTACCCAAAGCCCCACATACTTGGCTGATAATCAAGGATTTGTGGAAATCACCTGTCTGCTGGAAAACCACACACCCTGGCACTCATGTGCCCTCCTTCCACACACACACTGGAGGATCCCCACTGGGCTCACCAACCGTCATGGAAAAACCGTGTGTGTTCAGATCTTACCCAAACTGTTTAAAATACTCACAAGAGCCAACACACAGGATCATGGTCCTCATCTTTCTCTGTTCCCCTGAGACCAATACACTATTTGGTGTTTTAATAAAAACGGTGAACCATACTTTAAGCCTAAATTACTTACGCACTCTCCCAAATTCTCTGCATGTAAATTCTTAACACTGACTACAAAATGGAAATTCACTCTAAAATTGGAATTGGACTAATATCATTGTCATTCAAATAAGACACCAACCATGGACTATCATTCTTTTCTATATTTTTAAAAACTCTGTAGTGATGTTCAATTCAGTAGGCAAATCTGAAATAAGCAATAAGAATAATTCAGTCTCTACATAATTGCTCTAAATTACATTCTTTTAAACTTCTACAACTTGATTTAACTTAAAAAGAACTTGTAACATAAAACTAAGTTTAGTTTCAAGAAAAAAATGTTTAGAACATTCTATGTGCATTCAACTAGTACCAACTGTCTTCACACAGTTTCTTCCATGAAGCTGTATGTTAGCACTCTACACCGCAAATGCAGGAATGACGCCTTACGAAAGGGGCGGTGCTATGAGGTCCCACAAGTGATCGTCTTATGTCACCTCGTAAAAATGACAAAATCCCTTCTGTGAACAAACTCCCAGACCCATAGGAAGGGCAGCGCTCCGGGAAACCTTGGCCCCCTGTCTCTCCCCCCTGCACAAGTCGGAGGTGAAGGTCGCAGGCTCTGCCTCCACTCTCTTACTCATCCCTTCTTCTGGGCTCACTGCACCCCTCCAAGTCTGGTTTCTGCTCTGCTCCGTCACCAAAAGGTCAACTATGCTCATGTTTATTTAGCATGCCAACATAAACAGGTTTGTCTGAAAATAAGAGAATTTTCCTTAAAAACCTCAAAACCCTCAGGAAAAGAAAATCCTTTGTTGTGACATCAAGGTATTTATGAACAACAAAGTGTCCATGTAAAAGGCAGCTTCAGGCCCCGACCACTGGTTTCAGGCAGGTTGCGGTGTGTGCGCGTGCACACACAATCACACACACACACACAGCCTTCTCTGAAACACGCCTAGCAAGGTCTCCCGACCAAGCAACAGCGCAGCACACGGAGGAAAATCAAGGAATTAACAGCTCTTATCAGCATCTCTAGCAACTGAAAGCAGTTAAAAATGTTCAGTTTGTGGACAAGGCTCTATTTGCAACGATCTAGAAAGGAACCCCTGAAGAATAATTAGCATTTCCTAGAGAGCAAGTTTGTTTTTCCAGCAAAGTAAATGATAACTTCATAAACCAAAGACCCAATCTAAATCGTCTGTAGCAAGAATGACAATCCCCCACCAAGCTCACTTAACACCCCATGTGACCTTGTAATCGTTTCTAAATAATCAACTCACTTAAAAACAAATTCATATTAAAAGTATCCAGTTTTCCCTAAATTTTGGCGCAGAACACAGATTTAAAATGTATCCTGCTAGGGGCGCCTGGGGGCTCAGGCGGTTAAGCGCCGACTTCGGCTCAGGTCATGATCCTGTCGTTCGTGGGTTCGAGCCCCGCGTCGGGCTCTGTGCTGACAGCTCAGCGCCTGGAGCCGCTTTGACTTCTGTGTCCCTCCCTCCCTCCCTCTCTCTCTGCTCCTCTCCTGTTCATGCTCAGTCTCTCTCTCACATAAAAATAAAATAAACATTAAAAAAAAATTTTAAATAAATACAATGTATCCTGGAGTTACGATTTCTTGGGTTACTAAAAAATACGACCGGGGGGCGGGGGAGTGCTTGTAGCTCAAAACACGGATTCCTGAAGAATGTCGGTACTGAAACCCTACAGAACAAAAAGGAAGTATGTGACAACCGCCGCCGTAAGATGCACATTTTAAGTTAAGAAAACACATGTTACGCCAACTACACTTCACCGTCTGTACGAGAGCTACCTGCACGTCGGTTACGAAAAACACACGCAAACTCCGCAAACGCACACGGGGCTCCCGAAAGGGGGCACCGGCCCACGTGCACTGCCGCGCGGGCCTCCACTCGGGGAAGGCGAGGCTGGGGTCTCGGGCGGGGGGGCGCCCCGCGGGGGGGGAGGGGGGCGGGGTCGTGCTGGTGGGCCGCGCGGCCTGCGTCCCGGCCGCGGGAGCGGGTCTGGGTCGGGGTCGGGGTCTGGGCCCTCCCGGAGGACAGGGTCGACAAGGCCAGGGGCGCCGGCCTTGGGGTCCCGCCCCCCCGCCCCACTCACACGCGCGGCAGCTGCAGCGGCGGCGCCCCGCGCCTCTGGAACACGCCGTCCACGAACACGCCGTTCTTGCCGAGGCAGCGCAGGTAGAAGTCGCCGCCGGCGTCCGGCCCGGGCTGCGCGGACGGCTCCGGGGCCGCCCCGCCATGGCCGCCGCCGCCCGGGGGCGTAAAGATCTCGAGGTGGCGCCGCGAGATGAAGCTCGAGTGGCCCATGCTCACGTCCACCGAGCCCTGCGACGAGTTGCGCCCGATGGTCACCGAGCGCTTCTTCATCAGGTACTCGAACTCGCGGCCCTCGAGGCGCGCCACGGCCCAGCCGCCCGGCGGGGACCCGCCGCCCGCGCCCCCGCCGCCCCCGGCCCCGCCGCCCGCGGGAGGCCCGCCCGCGCCCGGGAGCGCCGCGGCCGCCGCCATGGGCCTGCGAGGGCCCGGGCCGCCTTCCGCCGCCGCCGCCGCCACGGAGCTGAGGGCCGCGCGAGGCCGCCGGCCGGCGAGCGACGAGCGGCGGCGAGGGGCGGGACACGCGCGGCGCGCAGCGAGCCGGCGGGCGCCGCTGACTGACAGCCGCGCCGGCCTATGGGGGCGGCGCACAGCAGTGGGGCTACCGGCGGCCGGCCAATGCCGAGACACGCCGGCCGAGCGTCCCGCACGTCCGGCCGCGGCGCCCGGCGCAGGCGCGGCTTCCAGCGGCCTGGAAAACCCGGGGCAGAGCGTGGCTGGCGCGGAGCCGCGGGGCAGAGCGGGCCCGGGTCGAGGTCCGCGCGCGCTGGGCGGGGGGCGCGTGACGCGCCGCACGGGGGCCGCGGCCCGGCTCGAGCTGCGGGGTGGGTGGGGCGCGCGTGGCCTGCGCTGGCGGCCGCACGGCTCGGGCGCAGCCGTCAGCCGCCTCCACTGCTGGAGGTCCGCGGGAGTCCACCGGCGGCCAGTCCGCTCCCTGGGGTGCTGGGACGCGCGGCGCGGGGGGGCGCGGAGGCAGGGGGCTGGGGCCAGGGTGGCCCCGGGCGAGGCGGGGGGCGGACACCTGTGCCTGAGAAGGTGCTGGAAGTGCCCGCTGGAGACGCCGGGGCACCCCTCATCCCACCGGAACTCTGACTGGTCTTGTGATGTGTGTTCACAACCTACTTTTTTGAGCCGGGAAGATGGCAGAATGTTCGAGACAGGGGAAAAAGTTTCATTACATATGTAAGTAGTGGTGGCCTTGAGACAAGTGTGGAAATGGTAAGTGGGGGAGCCTCTCATCGGAAACAAAATACAGGGGCGCCCGGCTGGCTTGATCTCCGGGTCGTAAATTCCAATCCCGTGTTCTGTGTAGAGACTGCTTAAAAATAAAATCTTTCGGGGGGACCCCTGGGTGGCTGAATCGGTTGAGCATCCAACTCTTGATCTTGGCTCAGGTGATGATCCCAGGGTCATGAGATACAGCCCCTTCTCCAGCTCTGTGCTCATCCCTGAGCGCCTCTCTCTCTGTCTCTCTCTCTGTCTCTCTCTCTGTCTCTCTCTCTCTCTCTCTCTGTCTCTCTCTCGTAAACAAGGGGCGCCTGGGTGGCACAGTCGGTTGGGCATCTGGCTTTGGTTCAGGTCATGATCTCATGGCTTGTGAGTTTGAGCCGTTTGTCGGGCTCTGTGCTGACAGCCTGGAGCCTGCTTGGGATTTTGTCTCCCTCTCCCTCTGCCCGTCCCCCACTCATGCCCTCTCTCTCTCTCTCTCTCTCTCTCTCTCAAAAATAAATAAAACATTTAAAAAACGTTAAAAATAAATACAATCTTTTTTAAATGAATAAGAACATAATAGTTGACTGAAAGAAAGAACATATGATCAACTATAACTATGTGCACACACTTCAGGGCCTCACCCCTCTACCTGGCTTCCAGAAGTTTCACTGTGCTCAACTTATCGATGGTGTTTGGAATATGTGCATATGCTGCTAACAGACTTGTACGAGGCTAACTGGAAACTTCTCAGCCGTGGTCATCAGCACCAGGTATCCATCCTGCAGGGAACCAGACTTGCAGACACAAAGAGGAAGTGCCTGTAGCATCTCCCTGAGGTGTTTCAGTTATGTCCTTGCAGTGCAGACGCAAGGCACTTTGATAAAAAGTTAGGCAATGCCCAGCCCCGTACAAGTAGAAATGGTAAGAACCACACTGTTCTAGAAGAAAGCTCACCAAGTGCAGGGACAGTTTGCAAAGGCTCCAGATCAGAGGCAGGGCTTGTGCTGGTGCTTCCATCCGTTGCAAATGCTCGAACAGTGTCCACTGTGTACCAGGCACAGGCCAGACTTTCACAGACAGCAGTGAGCAAACAGGCAGCCACGTCCCGTCAGCATGTGTGAAAGGACGGCCAAGAGGAAGCCAGCACGCAAGACCCCTCACGACGGAGGGAAAAGCAGCACCAGAAGATGCTTACAAGGCAGGAGGCTCACTGCTCTTTACGTCAGGAGCTGAAGGCAGAGGTGTGGAAGACACACCCCTCAGACCCGGCTCTTACAAAGATTAGTTCTTCCATTCAGAAGATGACTGAGCATCCAGTATATGCCAGACACAGGTGAAGGAGAGCAGATGCTTACGGTGCTTCTGGAGGATCCGCCATCCACATGTGAATCCGTGCGCAGGACAGCCGAAGGGCAGCGCGTGCTGTAAAGCAGAGGGGCTGAGAGACGAAGGCCAGAGGAGGAGACATCTGACTTGGACGATCTGCACCAGGGACCGCAGTAACCTCTGGATGGACAGCAAGGGCACAGCCCTGAGGAGGCGGAAGGGTGTTGGAGGCGGGAGACGGTTCATGGATGAAGGGAGGAGAAGGCATTTCGGAAGGCTTGCTACACAACTGGGCTCCTCATTAAGGGAAATGGGAAACCACAGGGCAGTTCAAGCAAGGAGTACTATGATCCAATTTAACTGTTAAAAAGATCAACCTTTTCCCTGCATGGGACAAAACTGAAAATGGGGACCCATTTGTGTTTCTTGTAGTGAATCAGACTACAGAAAAGAAAGCTGGACCCACAGTCCTCAAAGCTTTTGCATAGTATCTAATAATCTAATTTTGCGAAAACTTGTAAGCCCCCACATTTAAGATAACAGCAAAATTTTCCATTATGTTGTAAACTTTTAAAAATTTTTATTTATTTTGAGAGCGAGCGAGCACAAGTGTGGGGAGGGAGAGAGAGAATCCCAAGCAGGCAGGCTCTGCACTGTCAGTGCAGGGTCTGATGTGCGGCTCAAACTCACAAACTGTGAGATCATGACCTGAGCTGAAACTAAGAGTCAGATGCTTAACTGACTGAGCCACCCAGGCACCCCAGAGACAATCTTAAGCAATCTCTATGCCTAACGCAGAGACCAATGCAAGGCTCAATCCCAGGACCCTAGGATCATGACCTGAGCCGAGATCATGAGTCAGATGTTCAACCAAATGAGCCACCCAGACACTGTTCCCCATCATGTCTAAATAATAGCAATGAATGTAATTTCCCAGGTATAAATATTTACTTTTCAAATAGATCATGACATCTTTCCTTAAATGTATGAAATGGATCCCAAATACCATTTTGATTTGAAACCCACTAGCATATGTTTTTATAAAAATAAACAGTCTCTTGGCTAACTAGAGTTTTATTAAGTCCTTTACTTCTAAACTCACTCCTATTCAAATCCCCCCTAAATTTTATCCTAAATAAAAATGTTTATGCTTGAGTATTTATTGATAAACTTATTATTTACCCCTAGAGAGAGACACACACATATGTGTACATTAATCTGCAATTCCTGTAAATGTCTCATGTTAAAACAATTCTCGGGTTGAATTGCTATTACAGCCATTATTAACATATAATTGGCGAAAGCATTATTAATATATGCAGGCTCCATTAAGACTAAAAAATTATATTGGAGGTCTGTCTCTTAATATGTGAGGCCTCTTTTCCCTGGACACCTAGCGCATACCTCCAGTGATGAGAATTACTGGGCGGGGCAGAGTACAGAACCAATATTATCCCCACTTGCCATAAATGCACACACGTAAGAACAAGAGGAAGTTTTATCACAGCGACCGAGCACCGTTCTGGGGACCTCTTCTGGTTGCAGGTGCCACGGGAGAGCTGACCAGAGGCTGCAGACGCCTTGCAGGTCGGGGAGGGGCTGGAACTCGGCAACCCGGGCAGCTGCTGAGACACCAGGAGGCCGTGCCCGAGGAGCAAGGGCACACACGACGAGTAAGGGAAAAGTAAATTACCTGAAATGAAGAGCCCATTGAGTTTTCTGAACACCAGACAGGGCACAGCTGAAGAGAGGATTTTTCAACTCAAAGTTCCATCAGGAGAAATCACCTGAAAACACAGAAAAAAATTAAAATGAGAAAAAATATACCAGAAAGCAATGTTAGAGACGTGTGGAACATGATCTAATGGTCTAATGTACAACAGCCTAAAGTTGGACTTTCAGAAGAAAGGGAAAAGAAAATAGAGCAGTAGAAATATTTGAAGAGAGAATGTGTGAGAATTTTACACATTGGGGTGCCTGGGTGGCTCGGTTGGTTGAGTGTCAGACTCTTGATCTCGTCTCAGGATGTGACCTCATGGTTCATGAGATCAAGCTCTGCATCAGACTCCACGCTGCTTGGGATTCCCTCTTCTTTCTCTCTCCTCCCCTTTCCCTCGCTTGTGTTCTCTCTCTCTCTCTCTCTCTCTTTCAAAATAAATATATAAACAAGCAAAAAAATTTTACAAATTGATAAGACTACTCCAACCTCAGATCCAAAAAGTTAAGCAAATCCCAGAGAGAACAAATTCAATGAAAAACATGTGGAGGCATATCACAGTCCAGCTTCTGAAAACCAAAGATAAAAATAAAAGTCCTAAAAGGAGGGGCACCTGGGTGGCTCAGTTGGTTAAACGTCTGACTTTGGCTCATGTCATGATCTCAAGGTTCATGAGGTCGAGCCCCGCGTCGGGCTCTGTGCTGACAGCTCAGAGCTTGGAGCCTGCTTCAGATTCTGCCTCCCTCTCCCTGCCCCTCCTCCTCTGCATGCGCGCTCTCTCTCTCAAAGATAAATAAAACTTTTTAAAGTCCTAAAACAAAATTGAAAAGGAAACATTCTCAGGGAAACTTCACTGAGAATGACTTCTCAAAAGCAGCGGGTGCCAGAAGACAGAGAACAACATCCGCAAAATGCTAAAGGTCAAACAGTCCTCCAGACCAGTATTCAACACCTAACAAAAATATCCTTCAAAAAGTAAACACGTGGGGCGCCTGGGTGGCTCAGTTGGTTAAGCGTCCGACTTCAGCTCAGGTCATGATCTCACAGTCTGTGAGTTCAGGCCCCATGTCGGGCTCTGCGCTGACAGCTCAGAGCCTGGAGCTGCTTCGGATTCTGTGCTTCCCTCTCTCTCTGCCCCTTCCCCACTCATGCCCTGTCTGTCTGTCTGTCTCTCAAAAATAAACATTAAAAAATTTTTTTAAAAAGATGAAGTCCTTAAAATAACAAACCTAACATCCAAATGTTCAAAGCAAAAATTAACAGAAGTGAAATGAGAAACAAAAGAATCTACAAATTTAGTTCGAGATGTTGATGTTTGGCTATGCCATTATTAGAACCAGCAGGCAGAAAAATCTAGAAGGAAAAGAAAATAAAACAAGGCCTGGACCTTCTAGGGTTTATGTCAGGCAGGCCTGGCTGGAGGAAGTGTTGTCAGAATCCTGTGTCAGTTGACAAACCACTCGCGTGGCGTTTTCTGTGGGCCAGGAACTGCTTTAAGGACTTTGCAGGTACTGACTTGGGCCATCCTTGCGATCGCCCTGTACTGGGCAGGCGCTCCAATGGCCTGTCTCACGGCGGCAGCGGGGACGCGGGGAGGGTGACGTGCCCACTCCAGGCCAGCCTGCCTGTGTGCCCGATACCACTTCAGCTGGAGGGTAAAACTGAGGCTTCCTCTATGTGCCACTCACAGTAGAAAGGGGTGCTAATTATTAATGCTATACTTGTGAATTTTTATAGTCGCTAAGAAACATAAATGCAGAGCAAAATCCGCCAGCGCAGCTGGTTTCAGTAAACAAAATAATACAGCCCGTGACTGCAAGTCCTGTGGTCCCAAGAATACACCCTAGTCTCCCCTAAACTGAAACGCCTTCAGAGGCCTGGCGCCACGCGCCGGGTGAGAGCCAGACCCAGCAGCTGTGTTTCCCGCATACATTGTCCCTGTCGGGTTCTGGCCCGAATCTCCATTTCCTGCCACTGCCCCCCGAGTGGCGTGGGTGATTGTGCCCACCCCCACTGCCGGGCTCTGCCTGCAGCTCGCCTGGGCCATACTCGCCTCCAAAAGCCCCCGCCCCACCTCCCCCGCATGCTCACCTCGTTCATGCAGCTCTCCCGCCTGCGGCCAGGCACCTTCCTCCCCATCGACCCAATGAGGCACCGACTCCCTTGACTCCCTTGGCTCCCCCAAAACTTTACTAATAGCCTGCTATTGATGAGAAGCCTTATCAATAACATAAATGGTTGATTAATAATATGTGCGTCATTCTATGTTTTATATATTGTGGTCCTACTACAGAAAAGAAAGCTAGAATAAAAACAACTGTTAGTAAAATCCTAAAAAACCACATTGATGGTAGTGTTCTATATGGAAAAAGATCCAACCCGTGTCGTCCAAGGGTCCACTGCGTTCCCTCATTGTCGCAACTCTGTGGCGCCCGCTTCCCTCCAGGCCAACCTGTGTGTAACAGTTATTTGACATTTAATAACTTCCAGCCTGCTGATGTTTCTGGCTGCCTTCCTTTCACTGCTACTTAGTTTCTGTGCTGTTCTGTCCGTCTCCCCAGCAGCAGGGACCTCCAGCTACACTTCTGAGTGACCAGGTGCCCGTGGTGGACTCAGTGCATGTATCTCAGGAAGTCCTGTAACTCGCCACGTGGACTCGGCTGCCCAGCACTCGCACTGCGTTCAACTTGTGGTGGCTGTGGGTACACAGGAGAGACAGATACTCTAAATGTTCTTATTTTGGCCAAGCTTTCAAAGAAAATATAAGGTATATTCATGAAACTATGGCCTACTGATAATACTGTAAATTTAAAAAGTTTGGGGTGCCTGGGTGGCTCAGTCGGTTAGCATCCAACTTCACCTCAGGTCATGATCTCATGGTTCGTGGGTTCGAGCCCCGTGTCAGGCTTTATGCTGACAGCTCAGAGCCTGGAGCCTACTTCAGATGCTGTGTCTCCCTCTCTCTCTGACCCTCCCCTGCTCGTTCTCCCTCTCTCTCTCTCTCTCTCTCTCCCCCCCCAAATAAACATTAAAAATTTTTAAAAACCCAAAAAGTATTATCATGGTGTAAGCACTATATTAAGTAAATGATAAATTTCACATTTTCTGGTTTTCTTCTTTATAGAAACACAAACACTACAGTGTAAAAAATCATACATAAGCCATCTGCTACCCAGCCTTCTGGGAAGGATAAGCTGTTCTGGGTGATCAAGCACCCTGGGCTCCGGGGCTGCCTGTGTGCCCCTCTGTCAGCATCTCCACAGCACCAGGCAAGGCTTAGGTGTTTCATATATTTGTCACATCACTGAATGGAATTGAGGTCTACTTGGGAAACAAATCCAAATTTATATGATTATGAAGTTTCAAATAGTTGTAAACAATCACAACACCACAACTACCTGACATCAAAACCTTTCTGATGGTGTCGGGGGTCTCTGGTCAACATCCTGTTGCCCACGAGTATAATTACCAATACCGTTTTGTCTCTGTCGTGACAGGGAAGCACCTGTCAACACAGAGCTCACCCCGATTGGTTTAAGTAACTACATTGGTATAGATCACTAAACAAAAGCAACAGATCCTTGAATATTGATTTGCTGAACTTATGCCCTATTTGATCTATAGAGTCAGTACCACCCCAATCAAAGCCTCAACTGTTTTTTGTAGAAACTGACAAGCTGATTTTTTTATGTTTATTTTTGAGAGAGAGAGAGAGGGAGGGAGACACAGAATCCGAAGCAGCTCCAGGCCCTGAGCTGTCAGCGCAGAGCCTGACGTGGGGCTTGAATTCACAGGCTGCAAGATCATGACCTGAGCTGAAGTTTCATGCTTAACTGACTGAGCCACCCAGGTGCCCCTTAAGAGAATTTAAAAGAACTCCTGAAACTCCATAATCTAAAAAACAAACAAATCCTAAATTTTTAGGAACAGGCAAGAGGCTTGCCTCAGAGAGGGCACAGCAATGCCAGCAAGCACAGGTCAACAGTACCAGCCACGGGCAGGACGGCTACAGTTAGCCTGGGGTGTGAAGCAGCTAGAACTCGTACATGCTGCGGGGCAGGGGTACAGAACGGGGCCACCCCTTTGGGAAACAGTCTGGCAGATTCTTGTATCAAGTTACACACCCGCGCGCACACGCACACCCCTGCCACGCCGTCCAGCCAGTCTACCCTCCGAACTCACTCAAGAGAAAAGAAGGCCTATGCTTGCGAAGTGGCTTGTACGCCAATGTCTATAGCAGTTTTATTCATAAAATTCAAAAGCAGAAATGACCCAAGTGTCATCAGCAAGGAAGTGAAGAAACAAATCCTGTGTGCCCACGTCCGTGCCCCGGAGGGGCCGGCGGGGCAGAGCTGCCTCCTGAGCCCCTGCCCCACCACGCGCCTTTCTGGGCTTCCTCCGAAGCATTTTGCTGCAAGGGCTTTGAGTTTCTATCAAAAGACACTTCGAGTCCGGCTGAGTTTCCGGTGTCCACGCCCCCTGGCCCAGTAAGTGCAGTTCTGGAACGCAGAAGTCCAGCGCAGAGCGGTGCACAGGCCCCGCCTCCCTCTGACACCACTTGAACGTGCGCATCTGCTGCGGCGCGGTGACGGGCAGGAGGGTGCCGAGTGTGGTGCGTGCGGTGGGGACGGGGCAGGCTTAGCACCATAACCAAGAGAGTCCGCCAGCCGCCAGCAGGAGCTGCTCCCTTTCTTGGGGTTCTGTCCTTTTCCATTACAAAGAGAATAGGTATGTCTTGCTTTGTAATCTCAATTTAAAATCAAGGTTGGAAAACATTATTGAATCACTTCAAAGGTAAGAATTGGTGGGGCTCCTGGGTGGCTCAGTCGGTTAAGCATCGGACTCTCAATTTTGGGTCAGGTCGTGATCTCATGGTGTGTGGGTTTGAGGCCCAAGTCGGGCTCTGTGCTGACAGCGCCGAGCCTGCTTAACGTTCTCTCCCTCCCTCTCTGCCCCTCTCATGCTTTCTCTCTCTCTCTCTCAAAAGTAAAAAAACTAAAAATTGGTAAGATGCTTTAAATCCCATCTGGTTTTAGGAAAGGGTGAGTTTTATAGATGAATAATACTTACCCTCCTAAACAAACAAGAGCTACAGAGATAAATCTTAAAATGCCAGCTTTTAAAAGAAAATCTCAAGAAAATCATTAAATTTACTGATATTAACAGGACCCGAAAGTGTGTGTTTCTAAGTCCTCCTTAATGAACACGTCCTCCTATCGGCAGACGTCCCTCGGCAGCTCTGGAGACACGTGTCCCGGCTCCAGGGGCAGGAGGGGGTCGGTGGCCGTGGCCAGAGGTGCACCTGCAGGCATGTCATAGAATGCGTCACATATGTGGCTGCGTGTATCCAGCTGCTGGGTTAGGGCAGTCCTCCCGGGAAGAAAGCCCTAGAAGGTGACAGGGTGGCCAGGCCCTATGCCGGCTGCCCCGCATACCTCTGTGCTCTCAACCATATTTACCTGAGTTTGAGGAGAAAAGAGAAGATGGCCTGGGTGGGGGTGGTATGAAGCCACGAGGCACGGGGCTCTCCTAGTGACCAGTGTCCCATGGCTGGCCACACGCAGGCCAGCTGCCCTTAGTATCAGGGGACAGCTGTGTCTCCCCCTCCAGGCGACCTTTCTGAATCTCCGTGTGGACGCTGGAAAGGCACACATGGAAAACACGCAAAACATAGACTGTCAGACAGGAGTTGAGCAGCCGAAGGCAGGTTCTGAACGGAGGGGCCTCTGCTGCCTCAACTCCGCCATCCCAGAGCTCCCGGCGGCTTGTCGGCATGCTGGCCATGCTGGTCCTCGGGTGTCCCGAGAGGAGATGCCTCCGGGCCGGCTCGGACTCCTGCGCCCCTTCACCCAGGCACGTGTTCGTCTGCATGTCACTCAGCAAACGCTTCCTGTCCCTGGCTTCATGCAGGGCCCTGTGCCAGATGCCAAGGGCCCATTGAGAGCAGAGGGGGCGTGGGCGGTCTTTGTCCGGCCAAGGGGGGCAGGAGGCCTTGATGCAAGCTGTCGGCACACCCCACCTGCGGCGGCAGCCCCTCACCCACAGCCAGGCCCTTCCTGACACCCTGCCACATGCATGCCCCGCCACCCCCACGCGGGGGCCTGCTCCCGTTAGCCATCCTGACCCCTGCCAGTGACAACTGTCCCTTCACTTTAGCCACCAATTCCCAGCTCACGGTGGGAGCTCAATGACTTTTGTGCACATGCGAGTGGGGGAGGGGCCCAGAGAAAGAGGGAGGGAGAGAATCCCAAGCAGGCTTCATGCTCAGTACAGAGCCCGATGCAGCGTTGCGTCCTGGGACAGGAAGATCACTACCTGAGCCACCCCACGCCTGTGCGCGTGCGCTCTCTGGTGGCACTCGGCCCACGTGGAACTGCACATCATCCTCAGTACTGGCCTGATGCAGAGTAAGTTTGAGAAAGTGACGTAATGAGTAAGTGATGACTCCGGTCGGTTGCCGCTTGTTGGCCCCTGCGGAAGCCTTCCTGAGCTTATGAGGGTCGGATGCAATCCCTCCTCATCCTGGAGGCCCTTGGGCTGGGGGGGGGGCGGGGACGTGGGCCAGAACAGGCGCATGAGAGCAAGGTGGCGCTTTGGGGGTCTCCTGGTGGTAAACCTCAAAATGGTCCTGGGGCATGCGGCCTGAGCTGTGCGTCTGAGCATCCAGCTAACAGAAATAACCCAAAAGCTTCCTCTTGGAAGTCCATTTCAATTCAACAATATCTGTGGGAAGCTACACCCATAGGAGTCACTGATTCATTTAGGAAACAAAATACAAGAAAACAGAGATCCTGCCTCTCATGAATGGGTAACAAAAAGACAAATAACCACAGTTTCTGATACTGCAGAGTGAGTTACAGACTGGCCAGGAGAAGCCAGAAGAAACTACCGGACTCTGGACCAGAAGTGGATGGAGCTCATTCCAACCTTCATGTAGACACAGAAACAGTCATAAAAAATGACTCCTTTTAAAGTACGCTTCAAGCCCAGCAATGGAGCCCAACGCAGGGCTTGAGCTCACAACCCTGAGTCAATCAAGACCTGAGCAGAGATCATGAACCGAACGCTTAGCTGACTGAGTCGCCCAGCGCCCCGCTGCCCTCTGACACAGAAACAATAACCAATGGGCCTGAATCCGCAGGTTAGTGCAGATACGTGTGTCTCCTGGCCCTGCAGCCCGGGACGGCGCGGATGCAGGGACACCTCGCAGATGGTGCAGCGGTGAGCGCACAGCAGGCCAACTCAAAGTCTTAGCAGACGGTGCAGGTTAAGTCTTAGCAAATCTGAAGCATCTTGTCCAGACAAAGTCTGGAAGTTTCAGAAGAAATAATACTCAAACTGGTAATGACGCAGCAAAAGGGCCTGAAGAAATGTGTGGCCCAGTGACACAACACCACACGCTCTTCTTAGTCCCTGAATGTGGTGTGTGGCTATTCCATCACACTGTCAAGGAGCTCAACACTGCAGAGGGGCAATTTTATTTTGTAATACTTTTTTTTAAAAGTTTATTTACTTAGAGGGAGAGAGCGCATTCGAGCATGAGGCGGGGTGGGGGTGGGGGGGGCAGAGAGAGGGAAAAGAGAGAATCCCAAGCAGGTGCAGAGCCGGAAGCAGGGCTCAATCCCACAGCCCTGGGACCATGACCTGAGTTGAAATCTAGGGTCTGACGCTCAACCTACTGAGCCACCCAGGCACCCATGGGACAATTTTAAAATACATCTGAGAGGCACCTGGGTGGCTCACTCGGTTAAAAGTCTGACTCTTGGGGTGCCTGGGTGGCTCAGTCTGTTAAGCATCCAACTTCGGCTCAGGTCATGATTTCATGGTTCATGGGTTCAAGCCCTGCATCAGGGTTGTCAGCTCAGAGCCTGGAGCCTGTTTCAGAGTCTGTGTCTCCCTCTGTCTCTCTGATCCTCCTCTGCTCATGTGGTCTCTCTCTCAGAAATAAATAAAACATTAAAAAAAAATTTTTTTTAAAGTCTGACTCTTGATCTCAGCTCAGGTCTTGATCTCAGGGTGGTGAGTTCAAGCCCCACTTTGGCTCCGTGCTAGGTGTGGCACCTACTAAAGAATGAAATAAAATGCATTTGAGCTGCACTGTGTTTGCCTTAAGTTCAGATGAACGTTGCATATGATAGAATTACTGATCATAGAAAATTCAAGCACAACAAGAAGGAAATATGTTACTGAAAGGAAAAACTGAAGCAAAAAGTCTGGTAGAAACTTCAAAAACTCAAAAGTGTATCAAAGTCAATGAAAAACACTAGAGGTCAATATCATGAAGGAAAAGAATCCTGATAACTAAGAAAATATGGATAAAAATAACAACGCTGAAATGAAGAATACTATGAGAACCAGGACACTCCTCAACAGGAAGCAAAAAAAGCAGAAAGAACATGATGGTAACGGACTGGACAGAAACCAGGACGCACCCAGCCAGCGGGGCACTGAGGGAGGGTGGGCCCAGACCCAGGGACTTTGAAGTCTGGTGACTTCACCAAGTACTATGATGCTGCATCACACCTTGTTACAATAAGTGTCATTCCCTCCAGTCCTGTTGAATGAAAAATTCATTTGTTTCAAATCATGATTCATTTACAGAGATCAAGTCAATGTACAATGGCCAAGATGCTTCTCAAAACATTTGAAAGACTTTCTTTAATTGGTTGCCCTGTATTTTTAAAAAAGTAATCTCTACACCCAACATGGGCTTCGAATTTACAACCCTGAGATCAAGAGTCACATGCTCCACTGATTGAGCCAGCCAGGCACCCCCTGAAAGAACTATTAAAAATTTTTTAAATTATTTTTTCTTATGTTTTATTTATTTCTGAGAGAGAGAGAGACAGAGTGAGCAGGGGAGGGGCAGAGAGAGAGGGAGACACAGAATCTGAAACAGGCTCCAGGCTCTGAGCTGTCAGCACAAAGCCCGATGTGGGGCTCCAACCCACGAACCATGAGATCGTGACCTGAGCTGAAGTCGGATGCTTAACGGACTGAGCCACCCAGGCGGCCCCCCTCAATTTTTTTTAACGTTTATTTTTGAGAGAGACAGACAGTGCGAGTGGGGGAGGGGCAGAATGAGGGAGACACAGAATCCGACGCAGGTTCCGGGCTCTGAACTGTCAGCAGAGCCAGATACGGTCTGAAGCCCATGAACGTGAGGTCATAGTCGGATGCTCAACCCACTGAGCCAGGCAGGGCCTGATGGGCACCGGGCTGTTGTATGTAAGTGACAGATCGCTGGATTCTCCTGAAACCAATATTGCATTGTAAGTTAACTAAAATTTAAAAAAAGAAAAGAAAAATTGCACAGCTGACAATCTTCTCCATTAATAATAACTTTTAAAAAAGCATAATTTTATCAGCTCCACTAGCGGGAGAGACTGAACTATCTCTCTACCCACCCTATAAAAATCAGTGTGGGGCATCTGGGAGGCTCAGTCCGGGGAAAGTGGGAGTCGGGGTTTCAGTTCAGGCCACGATCTCTGGTTGTGAGTTCCACCCCTGCCTCAGGCTCTGCACTGAGCATAAAGCCTGCTTAAAATTCTCCCTAAACAAGTAGATAACTAAAGCGTTACCAAATATGTCTTATCAAGAGGAAAACTCTGCCATCAAAAAATTTAGGAGAAATATTGTGAGAGGTGCGTCCCGCAGTTAATCGGTGAAATGTTTCATTAACGTCATGAAGTTGGTGGGATTCATCAGCTCTGCACAAAGCGCGGCCTGCCGTCACTACGTTTCTTGCCCCCGTCAACGCTCACCTTCACACCGAGTTTCCCGTTTTTCACAGAAAGGGCGCTGCCGAGTGCGCCGCCTGCCGGGCCCTGACCTGCCGGGGGCGCCCCTGGTGGCGGAGTCGGGGAGAGCCGCCGCCGCCGCCCCGCGGGGGCAGACGCCCTGCAGCGACGGCCACCCTTCCCCGGACTGGGCAGCGCCCCCGCCCCGCTAAGCTCCGGGGGAACGCGCCCGCGCGCGGCCTCGCCGCCCTCCGCAGTCCGCACCGTGAGGTGCGCATGCGCGAACGGACGCGCGCCCGCCGCCGGCGGGACCACCGCCCGAGGACGCCGCGAGGGCGCACGCACGGCCACGTGACCGGCTGCCCACGTGACGGACCACTGCCCCGCGGAGCGCCTGCGGCGGAGCTGAGCCCCGGGAGCCCGGCGTCCTCTGCGCCCGCACACGCGGGCTGTGACGGGCTCGAGATGCTTGGAGCGGCCCGTCTGCAGGTGGACGTGGCTTCGCGCTGACGACCGGGACGTGCTCCCTGTCTGACGTCAGCCGCTTTGCTTCTGTGCCGTCGCCGCAAGACCGTCCCCAGGAGACGGGCTCGGATGCCCCTCTCCAGGGCCGCTGCCTCGCGTGGGGACACTGAACCGACAGCGGTGCCCCGTGGGCGACGCGCGCTGCCGGCCGCTGGCTGTGGGGCGCGCGGCGTGGCCCCGAGCGGTGCTGCCCGGCACGGTTGGTCCTGAACGGGAAGCACGAGCCAGGTGCGGAATAGGATCTGTCCCGACGTGACCTCGCACGTCTCCTGCAGGGAGAGCGTCAGACATGTCACCTGCCTTTCGGGTGGCTGGTTGTCGCCTCCCGGCCTCCCCTCTCCCCCCCCCCCCCATCTCACTGGAACGTGAATCTTCTGGGCGCCCTCCGGGAAGTCCATCCACACACCTCATCAGCAAGACTTTTGACACCGATCGTCCAACGTGGTTTTGTTGAGTCCCTGCACCGGGGCATTGATGAGGTGTGTTGCCCGGAGGGGTTGCCACGGTCTTCTCCCAGGGGCCGCTTTTTCGTCTCTAACAGATCTGCGCGCCTGGATTTAATAAACACAGACAAGACCCTTCAGACTCTTGCGGTGCAGATGCGGGCTTAGGGTACAGCCCCTGGTGCATTCCAGGGACCCTCCCCCCGTGGCAGCCACTAGCGTCTTGATGTTCTGAGCCAAGGGCCGCCCCCTGCTGGCAGTGTCCCTAACGGGGCAGAAGGGCCTGCTAGCTGGCTTTGTCCTTCACCCTCACCCACCCTTCGGTGCCCGGCAGTTGCAGTCGTACAGCTGATATTAGTTGTTCCCTACAGTTCTGGATGTCTTACGTTTGCCCTCCAGACACATCTTTTTCTTCTCTGAGACCAACAGGAAAGTGGAGGCTGCAGCCAACGGGACGCACTGGCAAGGAGGCTGGGGGGAGGAAAGAAAGGCTGGGCGGGTGGTCAGCGCCCCCCGGCTGCGGGAGCTGCCCCCCGGCCGCGGCACCCGGCCTGCCCGGCGTGGCGGGCGTGGGGCCCTCGCTACTCCTTTTCGCCTCCTTTAACCCTGCCCCTTAGGTCCCTGCGGCCTGTCCTGTGAGCTTGCTGGCTGACACTCAGTTCGACCTCAGCGGGTTCAGTGTCCGTTTCTCTTTCCCGATGCTTCTCTTGGCTTTCCAGAGGAGATCACCATCTACAACGGCAAGTTCTGTAGACGGTTTTTACTTGAAAAGTTTCAGCATAATTTTTTTTTTTACCGAAAGGAGTGTTCTTGGGGGAACAGTTCATACCTATTTGAAAATGCAGGGTTTTATTATTTTTTTCAAATTACACACTTGAACAGCAAGAGGTTATAACAGTTTTATATTGGAGAAACATCTTTATTGGTCACAGAAAAGTAGACCAAGAAATAGAATGAAAAGAACAGTTTTTTCATAATCATGCATATTAGGAGTCCTTTTCCAATGATGAGGAACAACACTATTTTTGTTCCTTTCCAAAATCCAACCACCATCAACGCCACACAGAACCTGCCGCCACTGCCGAAGGACACGGACACTCTGGGCTGTGAAGGTTGTGTTTCTTGTTTCTGACAGCAGAAAAGGACATTAAGGCAGAGATTTCTCACCACAAGAAGCTGAAGGAGGGAAAGTCTACTTTTATGTGTAAGTGGGCACTTGCCTTGCCCTCTTCCGGCCCCTGTGGGAGCCTGCCACCCTCACCCCCTGGCCTGGAGGGGCTGTGACCATCAGACCTGTCACATCCGGGGCCTGGGCAGCTGGCACAGGGGCAGCAGAGTGGCACACTGGAAGCACGCTGGGTCCATACCCCAGGGGTCGATGGAGCGAAATCCTCTGCTACGTGCTCACCTTTTCCCGGGGAGCAGCCCACAGACTTTGCTCTCCGTGTCCCCTTCAATCTCCCCACCAGGACGTGCAGGGCCCAGAGCAGCAGCAGCAGCTGGTTCCGTGGTGTGAAGGCCAGCACTCTGGACTCTGACTCCCGTGATCTAAGTTCAAGTCTCTGTGGGACCTGCATGATTTTTTTTGTCCCCCTTCCCTTTTGTCTCTTGATCCCCACTTTGGCGTCTCTCCCCCCAGTGCCCTCAGGCCAAGGGTAGCCCATGGCAGCCCTGGTGTCTCGTGGTTCCGTGGTGTGAAGGCCAGCACTCTGGACTCTGAATCCCGCGATACGAGTTCAAACCTGGGTGGGACCTGCCTCAGCTTGTGCGTCTTCCCGGTGTCGGGTGGTGGGCAGTGCAGCAGGTCAGCCTAGTGCCTCCCAGGCCAGGGTCTCCTCTTCTGAGCTCACGTGGGGATCCCTGGCTGCAGCCTCCGTTCAAGCCCACTGGTCCCTCGTACGTCCACACACTCACCGCCCCCCCGCCCTGCAGTCCCCGCGCACGGCTGCCTGCAGCATAGAGGACGTGGTCTGGTGCAGGGGCGGGTCTGCCCTTGGGGCGCACAGGGGCCCAGGACTCTACTTGCTCCCACTTGGGCACACACTTCCCCATGGACCCTTGAGCTATGGACCTCTGAGCAGGGTAGTATGGGTGGCCCTCCCCAGAGGGAACCCGTTAGAAGAGCGTGCACTTCCTCTCTCTCGTTTGCCTTTAAAAAACGGAGACCAAAAGGGGCTCATACTTTGTCACTGACAGGAAATGTGAATTCTTTTCATTATTAGAGCAGATCTATGGGTCCTGAGTTCAGGACCCCTGTGTCTCCTCTCACGTGACCTTGGCAAGACCCTGTCCCCTTGAGACGTCAGCCTCCTCATTCGTAGGTGAGGGGAGTGGGACAAGCCAATCCTTGGTCCGTCGCAGGACCTGCTGCACAGGTGTGTGACCTCAGTCCTGGCTCTGCTGGCCACAGGGCCCCAGCGCTCAACCTCCTCATTCCTGTTCCCCGCTTGTCTTTGTGCAAATGGGCTCATGTCCGGTTTGGGGCCCAGGTGAGCGCCCCAGAAGAGCCTGGCTCCCCACATTTGCTCGTGGATCATGATTGGGGCCTACTGTGAGGACTCCTTGGTGACGTGCCTGTAGAGGTTTCCCTATAAAAAGATCTGTTCTAACTGCTCTGCCTGTTCCTGATTGGGAAATGCAGTCACCAAGTTTGGGCCCCTGACATGAGGGAGCCCATGTTTGGTGGCCAAGTGGCCTGTGAAGTGAGCTGCCTGTGGGGCGCATCCCCCTCCCTAAAACATCTGGCCTGGCCTCCATGTGAAGATATGGCCTTTTCACTGAAGCCAAGTGTCCAAAAGCCAGTCGCTCAGCTCTGGGGCAGCGGCTGAGGTCAGAGAACAGCATCAGGGCAGCAGCACGGGACCGGCGCACAGGCAGTGCCCCTGCTCCACACCAGGCCAGCATCAAACTGATGGTGTAGACAATGGCTAAGTTCCAGTCCGCACTCCAGCAGAGCTGAGGAGGAAGGACCAGGGTCTACGCTGGCTGGGATTGGCCCAAGTGCTAAGGCCAGGTGGGAATGCAGTGGAAAAATCTGGGCTCTGCAGGGCCCTGGAGGGCAGAGGTATTCAGGACGGCCACCACGCACGCAAACCTGCTGGACGTGGTCACGGTCCATGGGAGGCACTAGCAGCACCACAGCCAATGCCTGTAAAGCAGCTCCCAGGTGCGCCACGAATCTGGACTCTGCCCTCCTCCTCACACTGGGACCCACCAGTACCCACCAGACATCTGCGCACCAGCTTGACTGTGGGGTCGCCCCCTCTTCTCTGCACGTAGGGCTGGAGTTAGGACGAACGTGGCCATAACCCCAAGATGTGCTGCGGATGAGACCCCACACCTCGCGCGATCACACCCGGTCTGGCATCCAGCACCCTGGCCACCAGGGGGCTTTGCTGTAGCTGGAAGAGACGGCTTTTGAAGCGAGAGGCGCAGTCCCCACACCGGACTCGTGGCTTCCTGGGCCCACTGAGACCCAGGACAGCACTCCCGCTCTGGGCCAGGTGCCGGGTGGAGAAGCACATGGCAGGACGAGGGGGCGCGCAGCCCGGGAGGTGGCCCAGGCGCTGGCGGGGAGGAGCCTGCCTCACACGCTCTCCACACTCAGACACGTTCTTCAACTGTTTATTCCGCAATCAGTCACCATGGAGGATGAACCTCGATTATGAACAGACTGAAAGGAAAAATGTACAATTTCACACACCATCCGGCTATCAACCCGGACAGGCGTACGGGCATGATATGGAACACGATGGAAACGGAGCCCGGCGCGGCGTGACGGCACGGAGGGCTCACGAGGATCATCATCACTCGTGTTAACCAAATCCAAGTGCTTTGAAAATCTAAACTCAGGCCATTCGCAGAGGTCTTTCCTTTGGATGCCGAGCCCAGATGTGGCGTGCCAGTTCTGGAGGTTTCTGGCTGCTTACCAGCCTTTGTTGGTATTGTAGGTAAATTGTGTTCTGTTCCTTAAGGCGCTCACAGGAGCGGCGCAGGCTGCCCGATGACGGTCCCTCGAGGCGCAAAGGTTGGGGCAAGGCTGCCCCCTGCTAACCTTGCTGGGGAGGGACTGAGGCAGCCGCCTCCCGATCACACACCCTGGCCTGAGCGAGGCAGCCTGTCTGTCCTCCATCTTTCTGTCCCCCTTGCCAGGCCTCCCCGGCCTCAATGGGAGTTCTCCTTAGAGGCTGAATGTAAAAGTGCAAGTCTGGGGCCCCTGGTTTAGGGGTCTGGTCCCAGGAGGCAGCTGCTATCATCTCTGACAATCGCGGTGGCGAGGAACGTGGCCCAAGCTACCAGAACATCCGGAAATCCAGCTTCGTACGCGAGCCCCCAATTCTGAAAGGATGCAATTTATTCACGTTCTGGCAAAAACGTTTTCAGGAATAACGTGAGTAAAGTAATAGCCAAGGTGGGCAGACCATGGGCCGTGGCCCCACCACCCCGCAGCCTGCCTGCCTCCTGTCTTTATTTCCACGTCAAGTCGCTCTGAGGCCCACGAATCTCAACTTCTGGGGTCTAAGCTCTTCACAGGACACTTTTTAGATTTTTTTTAAGCCTAAAAGATAGTAGTCTGTCTCTGTTTTTGTTCTTTGGGATATTTTCCAGTCTTAAGATAAAAGGATATTAAATTGGGGCAATCCTTCTCTCGTTTTCAAATATGCCAGTCGCACACATTACGAAGATAGCACCACGTCAGACCGAGGGAGGGAGCCACCGAGACATGGGGAGAGAGCTCCGGAAAGCACAGAATGACTGAGGGGCAGAGCGGCTTTCCCGCAGCGGCTCCCTCCCTGGGCAGCTGGCGGGGCTGCCTCCTTGCCCACCTTTACCACTTGATGTCTCGGCTGGCGGCAGGGAGTCCCGGGCGCTGGTACACGGTGTGCAGCGCCTCCCGGACTCTGGGGGAGTCGGCCCCGTCCAGCCACTCCTGGTACAGCTCCTGCACATGGGCGCTGCTCTCGGGGGGCCGCACGGGGACACCCGCGTACTTGCCCTCCATCTGCCGCAGCAGCGCCTTGTCCGCACGCCCATCCTCCGTCTGGGCTTGACCTCTGCCGTTTAAACACCCTGAAAGACAAGCAAGGAGCTTATGCTTTTCCTCCTCTGCATCAGAGGGAGTGGTTCTGAAGCAGGAGAGGACCGACAGCTGTGTGCGGCGTCCTGTGGCCAGAGCCTGGAGCCGGACCCCAGACTCTCAAGAACACCAGGTTGCAGGCTCACAGCCCCATATGCTTCCTGTTCTTACCTACGCACGGTACCCAGGAAACGATTTTTACCTAAAACCGAATAACTTGCCAACCTTTAGAACTAGATGGCTGTGTATGCGAATCTGAACTTCTGGTTTCTCTTGAAATTCATCAGAACCAGAAGAGCATGACAGTCGCTAATGGGCAGCCACGCCACTGCTGTCTCGTAAAGCCTCCGGGCGCTGGTCATCATCCAGTGGCACTGGGGAGGGGACGGAACCCGTGAGCCTGCACAGGAGCCCACTCACCCAAGCACCACGGCCCAGATAAAGGGTGTGCCTCCCACGTACCCCCAGATGTATTAGATGATGTCATGATTTGTAGGATTAGATTCATTTAAAAGAATTTGGAGCAAATTTCCTCCCTGGTCAAGCCCCCCTCCACCTATCCGTTGGCAGCACCCAGCAGCTGCACTTTTGACCTCAAATCTCGGAGACACTCAGCCTGGGTGAGGACCCTGCCCACTCTCCCAGGGTCTGCTCCTCTCCTCAGACCCCAGCCCCCGCGCCCCTCCCCAGATGCCGGTGGGTTTTCACCAGCACCCTAGCCATGCCTCATCTCTGCAGGCAGGTTCGAATCTTGTAGGCCTTCCCCACTCAGAGCACTGGTGGTCCCACCGCCACGCGGAGGCCACAGGATCCTCTCCCCTGACACCCACACCCGGGGCACCAGCAAGTCCATGGCCTCTGATGTGGGACCCCTGCCCTGGCCCCTCTTGTTGGCCTCGGTCTCTCACGTGGGTCCCCCTGTCCCCTGGGGACAGAACCCGGCCGCAGATGGGGCCTCCGGGACTGAGAGCAAGCTCTCCCCTGGTGCTGCTCTTCTCTGGGACTATGTCCCAGGGCTTTTCTAAGGGGACACCTGGCTTTTCTGCCCTGTGGTGAGGGAAGGACAGGGACCACGGTGTCAACAAGCAGGACAGTGTCCACACCCCACGAGGTCTGGGGCAGCCTGCGCGGGCCTGTCTCCTCTGGGGCTGTGGGCGGAGCCCCCGTGCCTTACCCCCGGCACAGGCGAGCACTTCCACAAAGTGGTACGGGAACTTGCCCTTCTTCAGTTTCAGAACCACTTTCTGGATGTTTCGAAAGCCGTATGCAGCAGCAAAGCGTAACAGAACCTCCCCGTTCTTTTCGAGGGTAACCTCCTGGAAGTCTTTGTTCCTATAAGGTGAACAAAATGGATTTTCATCTATAGAGTCCTTCCTCTGGGGCTTGACAGTCATTTTCAAATCTAAGTTTAAAATGTTAGCAAAACGAAAAATCTGTGAACAAAACCAAAGAAGGCTTTTTGATCTTGGCTGTTCTACACCCTGTACCTAGGACAGCCCCCCACCCCAACTCACACACACCCAGACACACACGCATGCACGCATGGCTGGCCTGGGCAGTCTGCCCCGGACAGCAGTGCTGCCCACACAGGCAGACCTCAGGGTGCGGTAGGTGACCTCCCTGACGTCCTCTTCGAACAGCTGCTTGGCTGCGTGTCTGAAGACGTGCGCCAGGTACCCGTCGGAGCTGGCTCCGTCATGGCGCCTCACCTCCTCCTCCTCGTTCAGGCCTCCAAACCTTCCCAGGGAGGAAGAGCAACAGCAAGATTAAATCAGACTTCTGAAGTCTTATGATCCCCACGAAGAGAGGAATTCTGTATAGACATTTGTACTTTGGGGCGACAGTCTCACGTTACCGAGTTTTAATGATCAGTCCAAGTCCCACCTATAATCTGGAAAGACATAGCAGCAGGCAGAGCTCCACCCAGTGCACCCGCATCAGGTATGACCCCCCCCCGCCGAACCCCAACACTTGGGGACAGAGCTAGGAATCTCTGGGCCACTCGGGAGCGTATGCATGTTCCCCAGCAGGGACAGGTAACAAGCGCAGGCTCTGGCCATAGGCGCTGCAGCCAGCTGACTAAACTCTGTAAACCTCAGGACAACCTTCCATGAAAGGGCCTGGCCTGCTAAGTGGCCCACATGCGCCCTGCGTGGAGCCCGAGGGAGCCGCTCTTCCCAGGTGACCCAGCCTTGGGCAGGTCCAGATGTTCAATGTTGGGAACACGTGACATTCAGAAATGGAGCTGGCATGTAAACATCACCATGGAAACCACCCCCCAGTGGCATCTCCCACCAGGCCCCGCCCATGTCCCATAGAAGAGCGGGAAAGAGCGGGTTGTGGTGAGGGCTGAGCGGCAACACAGGTTAGGAGCCCCTCGCCCTCTATCCCCTGGCTGCATGTGGCCTCACACAGGAGGCTCCCCCCGCAAGGTGCCCCTCCCTGCAAAAGTCACTTACAGAGTGTCAACGGCAGTGTCTTTTGCCACGAGGTCACTTTGCTCCATTATCTGAACAATTTCACCTGCAGACAAGGAAAGGGCGTGAGGCACCGTGCAAGCCCTCCTCAGGAGCTGTTTCCGGAATCCTCTCCCTCACTGGAAACCCTGTTAAGGTGACCCTGTGTGCCCTCACTCTCAGAGCTCAGCTCTAGTGCGATGTAATACCAATAAAATGAAAAACTCTGATAAAGTGTGAAAGTAGAGTCTAATGCTTCCTTCTGCCCTTGAAATGGGGGGTTTTGCAATCTCTCCACGTTTCTGTTTCTGAAGCAGAAATGTTTTGCACACAGCCTCCTGTGGACAGATGACCGAGACACAGTGGCTGCGGTTACGTGGCATCTGATTGTATGCAAAGAGATGAGCTGAGAATCGGAACCGTCTCCTACTTCCCTCCACACAATGGCCCCCAGAAACCTTTGCTGGAAACAGCTAACGTTTCCATCGGCTGCCTGGTGTCCTGTGCGCGTGAGAGGACTCAACGTCTGAGCACGAGAGTACAACTGACTCTGCATCTCAGGAAAATCCACCATCTAACAGGCAAGCAGGCGCCCTCGGCCCCCTTCCTTGGCTGCTGGGGGCCGTCCTGTCTCCCTCCCCCCAGAGCACGGAGGTCCTCATGCTGGAGTTTCAGGTCAGGGGACCCACGTCCGGGAGTCACTGGCCCCCCAGAGACGGCCGAAAGTACACCCACGTGGGTTCAGCAGACATAAGCCACCCCCTGACTGTGATGTTCAGTGGAAGGGTCCTGGAGGACGCCAGGGACCCATGGCCACCCTGGCACACAGGTCCCGGCACACAGGGGACCCCATGGGTCCCCGCCCCATCTCCGGATGCAGGTTTGGTTTGTGGGCAAAGCCTCTGGGCTCCCACACGACTTTTCCATGCTGCGTGAGCGCTGCCCCTCTCCACTTTCCAGCAGCCCGGCCCTCGGTGGGCTTGTCATGACCTCAGAGGACGACTGGCCAGAGGCCCCGAGAGTCCCCAAATCTGTCCACCCCCTCACCTGAGGTTAGTACGCAGTCAGCACCCCGGGAGCCATGCGAAGCTGTGGGAACGTCTTCTCGAAGGGCCTCCAGTTTCCTATCATAGCAAGGGGCCACGATAACGTGGAAAATCTGGTCTGGGGACAGGTTCTGGGGAGAAAGAGCAGATTCAGGTAGGGGCTGTGGGAAGTGAGGGGAGCTGCATGCTGGTGCCCACAACACCCTCCAGGTATTTCCTCAGACCAAGTTCCGACCTGTGCCTGCCTCCCAGCTGCATGGGGGGACCATGCCCTGGAGACCCAGGTGGTTTCACCCAGAGTCCCTAAGGCCCAGGGAAGAGCTGCGGAAAGCAGAACCTGTTTCCCCCTAAACTGTGCATACGGTGACCAACATGGTTAAGAAAAAGCCACTGCTGGATGGTTGCTGAACGGCTGGCTGGTTTACCTTGGGACCTTCTGGAAACTTCCCAAGTGACACCTATCTGAGCTGCCCCTCCGGCACCTACAGCTGAGCCGGAATTGGTGGCCACACCAGGAAAAGGCAGTTGGTGAGTGACCTTTGTGGAGAGGCCTTTGTGGAAAGACCCTCCTTGGGGCGAATCTGAGGAGGATGCCTGGCCGGCCCTCAGCAGGCCCACAGGACGGGGAAACTCCTGGACGCCCCCTAACAGTGGGGGTAGGGCAGTCCCATAGTTCATTTTTCTGTCCTCAAAGTGAACGCGTACACGCTGACATCACACTTACGATCCACAAACTTCAGGGATGTTATGAGCGAAGCAGTGGAAAGGGAACATTCCCACTGCTCAATTAACGAGGATGAGGCTTCCTGAAATGGGCTGTGGGTCTGGGGGATTCCTAGTTTCGCTGTGTTCTCCAGTTCCCGCAGGGCCGGGCCTCGCTGGCTCCCTGGAGAGCAGGCCACGGGAGGGGCCACGTCCTGGGCGGCGTGGGAGTGTCAGGGGCCTCCGGGAGGACCCAGGCCTGGCCTCTGCCAGGCTCCCAAGGTGCCCCTGGACGGCATGCAGGGGGAGGGACAGCACGGGGACCAGCTGAAGGTGGGGCGCCATCCACGGTGGGGGACCCAGGGCAGCTGAGGGACGTGGGCTGGCCTTCAGGAGCCTGGCTGGGAGATTTCCTGTCCCGTGAAGGCAGGAGCGGCTAAGACAGTCAGGCCGATGCTCTCTGTGGTCTGGGGCACAGGCCAGGGCCTCCCCTTAGCAGGACGGGCAGCATTTCCACTCAGCCTGGGTCGGACACCACCCTGGTCATGCGTGGTGGGGACACTCCCCCCATCTCCTGGGAGAAGGCTGGCTTACCTGCCGTCTGGCGAAGTAATCCTTCACCAGAGAGCCCATGATCTGCTGGGGAGACTTGGCAGTGCAGAGGTGGGGGGTGACAGGGTGGCCCAGCACCCGCTCAGCATATCGGACCCAGCCTGGGGAGAGAACGGGCCCCCGGTCAGCTCCTCACAGTGGCTTCCTCCTGCTTTCGGTCACACGTGAGGAATTCGGAGCTCCCAGACCCCGTCACTTGGGGTCACGCCAGACACCCTCTCCTGACCTCCCTAGGAGCTTGCGGCAGATCCCTGGCCAGGTGCCCCCTGGGGATCCCAGCTGCCTGTGCCTGGACGGGAGGACGGCCCTGCCGGTTGGACCAGAGAGTGTGGAGTGGAAGGTGAAAACTGGCATGGCGGGTCCCCCAGAGGAGAACGAGCTTAGAGAAGCAGCCACACGACAGCGCCCCAGGGGGTTGGGCCCTGCTCCCCGCGGCCACGACGCTGCCCTTGCCGCCGGCTGTGCTCAGATGGAGCATCAGCAACAGAGCCCACCCGTTTCGCTCACCTGCTGGAAGTGAACAGCCAGCAGCTGCTCACTTGTTAGGGTGAGGACACACGAGGGTCTCACACGCCCCAGTGACAGGACACGAGCTGTCCACTTACTCTGTGCCCAGCACGGTACCAAGCATTCCCCAAGTGGCTGACGCCTACTGTGCTCCTGGGGGTCACCCTCCTGCTATGGTCTCCAGGGGTGACAGGGGTCCGAGAGGTCAGTGAGCCACACAGCCAGCAGCACGCATCCTTCTCCCGCTGGGCACAGCCTGGCGAGAGGCCTGACCCCAGCCGGGCTCGCCCACCACAGCACACGGGAGCATAGGTGCCTGGCGATGAGCTGCTTATCAGACCCCGGGGACAGCCGGCCACCGCCCCCTGACCACCCCTGGCAGGGAGGAGTGGCAGGCACCAGTTGGCAGGACAATCCCGTCCGAATAAACTTAACCCCCCGCCGTCACCTACAGGCCGGGAATGCCCGCGGCTGTCCCCAGAAGCCCCAGGAGAGGGGGCCCCGGAGGAGGGCTCTCCTCATCCCAGCCTCCAAGCATCAAGACAAAAAGCCACCAAACACAGTGGCACCTTTGGGGACCCAAGGCCCTGCCCCCGGCCTCAGTGCCAAGGCCAGCAGCTCGAGACACGGCACCCAGGCAGGTGGCGTCCCCAGGCTGCGGGCAGGCTGCTGGGCGCTGGCCAGGGGCGCCCCACAACGGCAGGCAGGACGCCAGGAGGTAAGCAGGGCCCACGGAGGATGCCCGGCCTGGGGGGAAGAGGGCCGAGCAGGAGCATGGCTCCTGCATCTGAAACCAGACAGGCTACTTTCCTGAGGGCTCCTTTCATCTCCTCCGGAGACAGCACGACAGAGGAGCTGCTGTTGGCTTCACAGCAGCACCTACGTCCTTCCTGGGTGCTGGCACTTTCCTCGTCAGACCACGGACGGGTTGGGGCGAGGGGACGTGCTCGGAGCAGTGGCCTGCAGATACTGTGCTGGGTGCTGGGCACACCCAGCAGGAGGCGTTCCATCAGGCTGTGGGTGGCAAAGGCGCCCCAGGACCTGGGAGTCCCACGAGCCAGCACGGGCCCCCACGACCCCGATTCCGTCTGCCACGCACAACACCTGATCTTGATGTTGCTTCAGTTTCCTCACCTTGTCACAGGGAAGCAAACATGACAATGCCAGTCGTAGAAGAGGGTTAGTTTTAAACCAAATCTCACCTCTTCTCCCTCAATTTGAGAGGTGGTATAAAGCTGAACTGCTTATAATTCTGACACACTTTGGTAGAAAGAACTCTAAAAAGAAACTGAATCATTATCTAGGAAGAACATTCTAGAAGCTCCAAACCTACACGTAAACAGACTTGAACAGCTTGAAACTCTGAATGCAGCAAATATCAGGCTGGATGGGGGGTGGGGGCTGGTCTGCGTCAGCCAGTGGCCGAGTGATGGAGTTGGGGGGAGGGGGTTCAGGCGGACCTGCTGGGGACCCGCCGGCCCTTCACTCCCTCCTGGTCCAGAAAGCCCAGGGTGCGGGGACCTCTGACCTCCCCACCTCCTCTCCTGCCCCCAGTGCAGACCCACGAGAACGGTCGCCTCAGGCCGACGGCGGCGGCAGCTGGCTCTGGGCGCTCACCCGGGCAGGCGGAGCTGAGCATGGGCAGTGCGGGCTCCTCCTCACTGTGCTGCCGGTAGCGACGCACAAATTCCTTCTGACTCTCCAGGATGCTGAAGTCCGCAGCTATTGTCATATCAAAGACATAGTGCACCCCTGCAGAGAAAGAGGGGGGCATGGAGCTTCTCTTGCCCTGCAAGAGGCGGGAGACTCGAAGATCAGACTCCACGGCACCCCTGCCCTGTCTCCCTCACTCTTGCCTCCGAACCTGCCTCACTCCTGCAGAAGCCCGGGACTGTGCCTGAACTTTTCCCGGAAACAATAAACACACATCTCTTTCCACAGTAACATCCATGCGTTGTCGCTCTACAGCTGCAGAAACACTTCAGGGTGGCCCGTAGTAAAAGTAACAGAATATTCCAAGATACCAGCACCACTTTCCTCCAATCAATGGCTAAATTTCAGTCTGTGATGATCCTTGATATCTTGCAAATAAACGAGTAAATCGGCAAGCCATACCTTGCTGATGGCTGTAATCTTTACGCTGATTTGTAACTAGCTATCCTTTTTTTTTTTTAGCTATCTTTTTGAAATAAAAGTTCTTAATATGGCCACATAAGCAGGACACGAGAATATTTTTAATAATTACAACAAAGTAAGTTAAAGTAACTTTAATATCTGCAGCTAATCTAAATCTTAAAAGCAAACGGTTATTCCTAAGTAGAGACATTATAAAGATAAGCTTCATCTTATGGTTTGAAGTATTACCTTAAATCAGTTTCAGTACAAACATGTTTTATGAAGACATAATACCCAATATTTTCTTTTATTGTTCTTTTATTTTTTTATTATTATTTTTATTTTTTCCTTAAATAGTTTACCCAATATTTTCTTTTTCTATTTCTGCAAGTGGCACCTGGTTGGCTCAGTCGGTTGAGCGTCTGACTTCGGCTCAAGTCATGATCTTGAGGTTTGTGGATTCAAGCCCTACGTTTGGCTCTGTGCCGACAGCTTGGAGCCTGGAGCCTGCTTCCGATTCTGTGTCTCCCTCTCTGCTCCTGCACTGCTCCCACTCTGTCTCTCTCTCAAAAAAAAAAAAAAAAAAAAAGTCTCTTCTTTCAAAAATAAATAAAACATTAAAAATTAAAAAAAAAATTCTCCCACAAGTGGTGGTGCCTGGGTGGCTGTCGGTTAAGTGTCCGACTCTTGATGTCGGCTCAGGTCATGATCTCGTGGCTCGTATGGTGGAGTTCCGTGTCTGGCTCTGCACTGACAATATGAAGCCTGCTTGAGATTCTCTCTCTCCCTCTCTCTCTACCCACCCCCACCCCCAGGCTCTAAATCTCTCTCAAAATAAACAAGCTTAAAAAAAAAAGTTTCCCCCCAAAGTAGGGCCTTTCTCCGTGAGAAGATAGAGTATGTAATAACCCTGGTCTTTGGTAAGGCCGAGCTGACCTGCGCGCTCTCAGACCGCAAGCGTGAAGGAGTTAACTAGATCTGTGCGCACAGCCGTGGCCCTGTTGGCAGCGGGCGGTGCTCGGGGACCCCGGGCCGCATCCAGCGCTCCAAGGGGGCGGCCGTCTTTATTCTGAGCGGCACCTTATTTTATTAGGAATCTCCATGCGCTTAGGTCTTTCAAAGCCACTACAGAAAACCAGAAATTCATGTTGGCAAACGGCCCCAGACCCCCTCTCCTGAGGCAACCTGGCGGTCATGTGCACAAGGACACACGGGGTGGCAGACGCTCCGGGGTGGGGGGTGCTGGAAGCTCCAACATGTCCCAGGCCACCCCATCCCTTGCTGCTCCTGGAGGGCCAGCCGCAGGCATCACGCAACATCTGTCTGTGCAGAACGGGTGAGGGATGCCCGCAGGGTCTCCTCCTATGTTCCTTGAGATGTTCACGGAAAATCTGGTCGATGCTGTGCCCCTTCAAGCTGAACTCGGAGGCCCAAAGGGCAGCTCTAAACTGGCATCATAAATGCACAAACAGTATCAAGGAGTCTCACCAAGACTTTTGAGGAAGCCGCAGAGTCTTCTGGATGCATCCGTCACACTGAGGCGGAATTTGGCAGCAAAGTAAGGCAGAGACTGAGGACACACCGACACTACCAGCACCTTGTGCTGTGAGGTATCACATTTCTGGAAGAATCAGAGGAGAGGGAGTATAGAAGTAAAACAAAACACTATAATAAACAGAAAAGAATGTCACAGATGTTCTGTGAACAGACTCCTAAATATGCATGTACTAGTAAGTATAATTAAGGAAATGGGAAAAAATTGGGATTAAAGAGTATGACATCCTGGGATGCCGGGGGGGCGCTCAGTCAGTTAGGCGCCTGACTCTTGATTTTGGCTCAGGTCATGATCTCATAGTTGTGAGATCAAGCCCCCTGTGGGGCTCTGCACTGACCATGGAGCCTGCCTGAGAGTCTCTCTCCCTCTGCCCCTTGTCCCCTGCTCATGCTTTCTCTCTAATAATAATAAAAAAAGGTACATCCTAAGAGATTTCATCAATTAGATTTTTTAATGTTTATTTTTTGAGAGAGAGAGAGAGAGAGAGAGAGACACGCAAGCAGGCTCCGTGCTGTCCCACAAACTATAAGATCATGACCTGAGCTGAAATCAAGAGTCAGACATTTAACCAATTGAGCCACCCAGGTGCCCCTCCCAATGATAACTTTTACGTCATCTAACACAGCTCTGATTTCTTTTTCTAAATGTGTTGTCTAGGACCTTTAACTCAATCTCTGATAAAGTGGTGATAAATGGTACTTGTATCTTGACTCAGACCTCAGTGGAAATGCTTATGAAGTTGTACTAGTATATAGATGTTTGCAGAAATTTCTGGTAGATACCCATAGCAGTCAGCATTTCAGTTGCAGAAAATGGGTCCCCAACTCACTGGCATAAATCATAAGGAAATGGTTATTTTGTGAAACTGGAAGTACATTCTGGGTTGGTTGAGTCAGCCACTCAAGCTGTTGTTAGGGACACAGCAGTTTCAGGAGTTCAAGCCCTGCCTTGGGCTCTGTGCCGACAGTGTGGAGGCTGCTTGGGTCTGTCTCTCTCTCTCTCTCTCTCTCTCTCTGTCCCTCCCCCACTCATGCTGTGTGTGCCTCTCAAAACAAACTTAAAAAAAAAGTTATCATTGGGAGACAACACACCTAGAAAATTCGAAGTAATCTAGGAAACTAGAATATCAAGCTTACAAAATAGCTACGTATGAAAGATACATGAAAACCAACAGCTTTCCACACCAACAAAATCAGTGATACAGAATTTAATAGGCTAAGATGCAGTACATGTAACAAAACAGCCACAGAGCCCCAGTCCCACCAAGAACAAGTTATAGTTATAAAGAAAGAAGACTCAACAAAAACACTCGTGGGATCACACAGCCTAACCGGAGACACAAACCACGATCATGGATGAAAAGAGTATTCAGTAGAACACAAACTTCCCTTCAATAACCTATCAACTCAATGCAACTCGTGTCCAAGTCCCCCAGTTAATACCCAATAGTACAAAGTCAGCCAAGAAAGGTGAGATCGCAGAGCAAAGGGAAGTCGGGGCCTACCAGAGACCGGGGCCGTTAAAATGGAACCTAATACCATACGTACGTCTCACAGTACGAAAGGCCTTCTGGTGACGACGCAAATGAAAAGCTAGTGAGGCGAGAGCGCTCTACACTGTGACTCAAGCGTGACGGAGTGTGAGCACACACTACGTGACAAGCTCAGTCCGCGGGAAATCGCCTGTGCTGTGTAAGCTGGGGCCTGGGGTGCTGCGAGGGGGTCGGGGGGCTGGGGCCGGCTGCCTCCGGACTTATCTACGTGAGGGGACCGCCCTCCAAGCTGTTAAACAGCTGGAGGCTGAGTGTAGTCTTGAACTAACAGAGCTATGAACAGACGGCATACAATACGGTCAATGAACATGTTAAAGCTCTTCAGCCTCACCAACGATCAAGAAAATGCAATTGGGACTTTCTAGTGATCACCCTGGGAAAACATTGTGAGTTTGAGAGCAAGGGTGGTCATGACAGTGGGACATGGGTATTCTCACCTATGACTTGTGGGAGCATAAAGGGAGATGGCCACTCTTAAGGGCATTCTGGCAAACAGCACCACCCCTACAGAATTAGAAGCCCGTTGTTCTGTAGAATGTGCCAGCGTGTGTGTGCGGGGAGGGGGATTCAGCTGCATCATAAGTGAGTCGAGTCTGTTCAGTGTAATAAGACGGCTGAAGCCGCTTTGCTGGGAGAAGGACAAGGGTGAGCAGGCAGCGACCGGGCAGACAGGGCGAGGTCTCCTGGCTCAAAGTCCATCCGCTGCTTGCTCACCGACCTCCCAGGGAGCGATCGGCAGGAAGGGAACGGACAGACACCATGCGGACAACCCAGCACATGTTTCTATCTGAAACTGTGCCCTAAAAACGCTGAAGGACACACCCAGGAACAGGCCGCAGGGGAGGGGAACATGGAGACATTGCTTGGCCCCGCCCTGGGCTATGGTAGCCATGGTCCTCCCACCTCTGCCCCGCTCGGGCACAGCGCGTGCTGCCTTGATGGGGGCGCAGGGCGGGCTGTGACTGTGCTGAGAAGCACTGGGAGCGAGAGGCAGACCCAGGTTTGCCTTCCAGCCGCTCTGCCTCCCCAGCCCTTCCTTTCACCTGTCTTCCTGTCAGGAAAGCCACGGCTCACAGCTGAGGGACACAGGTCTACAGGGCAGCTGGGGGACCGCAGCGCTGCCCCAGCCTGATGAGCCCATCACCCCAGGACCCCGCCTCTGAGAACAGACCGGGGACCTTGGGGACCTCGCCTCATTCCACGGCAGTGAGGGAGTATGTCCCTGGGCGGAGATCGTTCTGGCTGGTGGCTGGCTCTGGAGAGGGTGGAGTCAGGCAGGGGACACAGGGCCAGGTCAGGCCGCGTGCCCTGGACCCCAGCAGGGGCGCCCACGGCTCGTCCCACCGGCCTCCCCGGGGCCGCAGCACTGGCAAGTGGCCCGGAAGCCCTACCTTATTAAGGTTCAGAACTCGAAAGAAGTCCTTGGCGTTCTGCTGGGAAACCTGGAGCCCTTCCTCCGCAGTCACACAGCTGTCGCACGCCAGGCAGTCACTCAGAAATATCTTGGCATCAGCCAACTTATGGAATTCTCCCTTCTACAAAAGAAAGATGAGGTTTTGGTCTGATTCTTCAGTAAAAACTCTATCACGTGCTTCTCTAGGGGGAGTGACAGCATGACACCAGCACAGGACATGGACCCCCTCAGACAACAGAGCCAGGCCTGCAGCTCCCGGGGCTGGAGGGGCGCAGAACAGGCCACAGTGACACCAGGGAGTCACACAGATGACAGCGGAGGGGTAGCAGGACAGCACTGTCGTGTGGTGGGAAGACATCTCCATCCCTGTGTCTTGGGAGCTGGCCCGGCCCTTGGCCTCCCTGGGTCCCCCCCGTGCTGCCCCTCAGAAATCCTGCTCTGCGCCTGCTCTGTGCCTGCCGGGTGAGCTCACCAGGGCCCACGGCTCCCATCGAAGCCCGCAGCCTCAGGGGTTCCAAACGGGGCCTCAGAGTTTGCACTTCTAATGTGCTCCTGGCGGGGGGTGGGGGGCAGAGCTGCCACTCCAAGGGTCTAGAGCCCATGCCCTGGCACACAGCCGGTGCCTAATAGATACCTCTGTGCTACACCGAGAATCCGGCCCCTCCGTGCCTGGGGGGGTGTCTGTGAGTGCGCTGTGCCCTGTGCCTGGTCCAGTGCGCCACCCAGTCCTTACTGCAGGCTCTCCTGGGCCAGGTCTGGTCCCTTCCCCTCCCTCCCGTCTCCTAACATGTGCCTCTCCAATCAGCCTCACCTTCTAGAGCGGTGCCAGCTCCCCTACCCCCAACGCCTCTCTAGTCTTCGCCTCCAGCAGGGCACTCTCCCTGCCATCCCACAGAAAGCTCGGCGTCTGTGGAACCTGAACAGCCCTTTCCTTCCTGCGCTGCACCGTCTTTCCTGCTTTTGCCAGTCTGGCCGGCCTGCCCAGGCCCACCACCTGTCTCCTTCATTCTCCCCTGCTCTCGCCACCTTAAGCCACCTGCCTCCATCACCTGCCCCCAAACACACATATGCTCCATCCCCTCACCCAGACACCCTCAATGGCTCCCAGTGCCCCTCCCCCAGAGCACTCTGTCCACACCTCTCCTGTGCCTGGAGAGTGCACCCCATCCCTGACCTGCTCACTGTAAGGGGGTACCACCCACCGTGCTGGCAGGGTGCCCGCTGAGGCTGTATGCACACCTTATCTCTGTCTCACCACAGCCCTGGGAGGGAAGTAACTGGACTCCCCAGCTCACTGATAAGGAAAGTGGAGCTCCCAGGGTCAGATGTCTGTCCACGGTGATGTGGCCAGAGTGTGGGTGTGGGGGCACCAGGCATTCTCTGCTTCTTCCACCTTTGCCCCCTGCGTGCCGTTCTCATCCACGGCTTGCGAGCCCTACGGCCGCCGGACCTCAGAGCGGTGCTGGTACGGGAGGGACGAGATTAATTCCTGTCGGGCCAGACATCAAGACTACAGAGCAGCCTGCTGCTCTTCCCCCCATGTTGCCGGCTCCCCATTAGTGAAGTTGGTACCAGTACTTTTCAAGGGAAGAGCGACCTCCCCCTACCCAATAAACAAACCATTACTACTAGCTAAAGAGGATCTAGACACTCAAGAATGGAGTAAGAGAAAAAGCCATTAGAAAACTAAACTTACAGGATCATGAGATTGGAGTTATTTTATAAATTACTTACCTAAACTCCAACTTTACAGAATGAAGCTTTTCATTAAATAAAATTGGAAATTTAAATACTATGCCACTATTTCTCATAAACAATTAATGAGAACATTTTTCTTTGTTCTCTGTGCAGCTTGCTTTGGCTCCGTGTATTCTCAGAAGACTGGCTCTTGGGCACCTCTGTCTCAAAGGGTCACGTGCCTCAGAATGACCAACCTGGTGTGTGTGGCCCCAGCAGGGCACCACTTCAGCGCCTTTTTTCCTACAGCACCATGTGCAGGGGACGGGAGCCCCCAAAGAGGACAGAGACGGCCACGGCCATTTACAACAGGAGGATACAAGACTGAAAAAGTACTTGCCTCTCCATTCTCCTGGCCCAGACTTGGTACGTCGACTGAGGCATTCTCTTGGTCATCGGTTTTTGTTTTTTTACTACATTCCTTGGAAAGGCAAATGAACATATAAAAGAACAACTTTTAATCTGATGTCCTGAATTTGAAAAGATGTACATACTCTCTGCTCCATTAACCTCGTGCGTAGAAGTCTTTTCTACAAAATAAAAGTGGCCGTACTCGCAGACACGGACACACACCCCCTCCTCTGTGTCTGTATCCCTCGCAGTAACTGAGAACTGGAAGCAACGTGGCCTTGCAGCCACAGGTAAATCAACACCGACTACCAGGGCGCACATCATATTTAGAATACAATGAACTAGAACTGTGTGTGAAGCTCTGAAAACGCACCTGCTGTATAGTGTTAAGTAAAAAAAAAAAAAAAAAAAAACAGGGTTGGAATATTTATATGATCCAATTTGTGGAAACAAACAAACAAAACCCATTCACGCACCGGACGGCTATGTTCCCACAGCCTAGAAACAGGTGTGGAAGGCCGTCCCGGGTGCCACGGCTGCGCGGGCAGCGAGGACCAGCCCTGACCTTCCTGCAGGCCTGTATCGTTTCGCTGTTACTCTAAGCCTGGAAGTTGGAGAAAACCCTCTCAGAAACATGTTTTGATCATGGTTTCCATAATCCACAGAAGAAAGGTGCTTCTGTGACTGCCCCGAGCGGTTATAGAGGTTGGTCTGCTTTCTGTTTTCTTTTTCTGGCTTCGAAAACATCTTGAAGCACGGACGAGTGCACGGAGAACTAGAAAGACGAAGCATGACCCCGGCTGTAACGTTAACTACACGGTACCCGAAAGCGTCGCCTGACACCTGGCCGGGTGCGGCGCCCGGAGCCCCCCAACCCCCCGCGCCCGCGCTCTATCCAGTTCGCACCCGAGCTACTTCTGCCAGACACGCGACCACGCGTGCGGCCGGGGCGGCCGGGGCGGCCGATGCGGGTCCCGGGAGCCAGGACCGCGCTGCGGCTGCCGCCGCCCGCTCGGGGCGCCAGGGCTCCCGGACGCCTGCAGGCGCCTCCGACGCCCTGACCCGCCTCAGGCGGGGCGACTCCAAGCACACCCGGCCCCCCGCCCGGCCGGCCCCCCGCCCGGCCGGCCCCCACCCCCTGCAGCCGCCGGCCGCCCACGCCCCGCCCCCCGAACTCGAGCGCGCGGGGCCCACCTTCCGCGTGCAGTGCTCACACTTCATCTGGAGCGGGGCAGGCGGGGGGCCGGGACTCGGCCTGAGAGCAGCACCGGGAGACGCGGTCACGGACGCCCGCCGCCCGCCGCCCGCCGCCCTTTGTTGTAGTCGCCTCCGGCTGGCCCCACCCCCGGCGTCTCCGCTCGGCCAATGAGAGTGCTGGGAAGGGACGGGCCTCACCACTAAACCAATAGAGGTGAGAAAAGGGCGGTGCGGCTTCAGCCCACACAGCTTCGCCTAAGCCAATGAGAGCTCCGGGAAGGGGCGGGCCGGGCCCCAGAACCAATCGGAGCGCGCGGGGGCGGGGTGCGGCGGGCGCCCTGGAGGCCCGGCAAGTTCTAGCTCCCGTTTTGGCAGCGCGCGGGTCGCGCCGGGTGCGGGTCCGACGCGCGGGCCCTCTCTGTCTAGCAGTCGGGCCCCGAGTTGCCCTGGGGGGCTGGGCCCGTCGGCTTGGCGCCGCCTCGAGCCCGCTTCCAGGCTCCGCCGTGCCATCGCCATTGCCGCCCTGAGGCGCGTCACGTAGGCCGGGACCGGTGGCAGTGCGCACGCGCGGGTGCGCACCACGTGGCGCCTTAGGGGAGCACGAGGTTGGGTGTGAAGTGAGTCCTCATGACGCTCCCGGCAGGTGTGTGGATGGTCGGGCGCTTGCTTTACAAAGAGAGAGCTGTTCCTGTTTCTGGGAGAGATGACTCTACCTGCGGGGCTAGGATGAAAATGTTTAACTCCCAATAATGAAAATAAACACTTTACAAACTCAGTGTCTGCTCCTTACAGGATGATCAGAAACGAGAGGCATGCCTAGAAAGCTTCCATAGAGCATAGAAAAAGCAACTAGTGACCTTAAAAATAGAGTTGCCATTGGGGCGCCTGGGTGGCTTAGTCGGTTAAGCGTCCGACTTTCGCTCAGGTCATGATCTCGCGGTTCGTGGGTTCGAGCCCCGCGTCGGGCTCTGTGCTGTCTGCCAGCTCAGAGCCTGGAGCCTGTTTCAGTCTGTGACTCCCTCTCTCTCTGACCCTCCCCTGCTCACGCTGTCTCTCTCTCTCTCTCTCCCTCCTAGAAATAAATAAAAAACGAAAAAAAGAAACACAAAAAAACAAAAAAAAATAGAGTTGCCATTTTACCAGCAAAATGGACTTATTTGGGAATAGCTGAGAATTGTAATTGGGACCAAGCTGGCTACACCAAAGCCATAATAGGCAAGTCTGGAAGCAGAGGAGAGAAGTGCACGTTTATTGAGGAAAAGAGGGCTGTTGGCAGAGGCTATTGTAACCAGAAAGTCCAGTGGAAAAGCACTGAGCGGCCCCTTCTCCTGGCTGGGCCGTCCTGCTGCTGCAGTGGCTGAGGGCCTGCGTAGTGGACCGGGAGCGCCCCTGCCTGACCCCAACCCAGCCCGAAGGGCGTTTCAGAATTTCTAGAGCTTCATACAGCTTTTCACAAATGCCTCTGTTAATTCAGGAGGTCTTAAAAACAATTTTTTTAACTATTTTTGAGAGAGAAAGAGACAGAGTGTGAGTGGGGGAGGGGCAGAGAGAAAAGGAGACACAGAATCCAAAGCAGGCTCCAGGCTCTGAACTGTCAGCACAGAGTCTGACCCGGGTCTGGAACCCATGAACCGTGAGATCATGACCTGAGCTCAAGTCCCACGCTTAACCAACTGAGCCGCCCAGGCGCCCCTAAACTCAGGAGGTCTTAATTGGCTCCCAGATTAACTCTCTGCATTACGCAAATCTATGTCAGCACCTCTCAGAAAACACATTCCTTCAATTATAAGCATAAACGAGGATAATTTGAGGTTATCATTTGTATATATTTCTCGTTATTGTTTTTAAAACATAACCACAATACCATTACTATGTGTGAAAAAAGAAAACTGCAATTACTTAATTTCATCAAATATGTAGTGTCCAGGTTTCCCTAAATCAAACCATTTTTTTTTTTTTTAGTTTCAATCAGGACCTAAATAAGGTCTAATAGATTAATTGCTTTGTGTGTTTCTTGTGTCTCTTTTTGTTTTAGAATAACTTCCAGCTCGCTTAGAGGTTGCAAAGACACCATAGAGCGCTCTGGTCTGAAGGCTCGTGTGTGCGTTTGAATTTGTGGATTCCATCCCCATCCTGCTCGCCTTCTCCTTGCACGTCGCTATAAAGGAATCCAGTGGTTTGGCTGTAGGGTTTCCAAGAATTGCTGCCTGCATGCTTGTGGAGCCCTTTCATAGATCCTTCTTGTCTGAGTTTCCAGTAAAGAGTAGTTAGAACATTCTTGTTTCTTGATCACAGGTTAAATTTGTGGGCAAGACTATTTCATATCTGTTGTTGTAATGCGATCAGGAAGTTACACTGTCCTTTTTGTGATATTAATTAGTGCACATTGATGAAACTGCACGGATCCATTCATTCATTATGGCAATACTTTAACCCTACCATTTCTTCTTCTTTTTAAAAAATGTTTGTTTTGAAAGAGAGCAAGCATGAGCCGGGGAAGGGCAGAGAGAGACGGAGAGAGAGAAAACATGTCAGTGCAGAGCCCAGTGTGGGGCTCATCCCATGAACCATGAGATCATGACCCGAACCGAAATCAAAATCAGACACTCAACAGACTGATCCAGCCAGGGGCCCCAATTTCTTGTTAATTTATTAGTGAGAATGCTTTTATAATGATAAATTCCTCTCATTTACTATTTGGTTACCCCGTTGCAAATTTTACTTATTATTTTAAATGATGCTTATTTAATTTTGAGAGAGACAGAGAGCATGAGCAGGGGAGGGGCAGAGAGAGAGGGAGACAGTATCTGAAGAAGGCTCCAGGCTCTGAGATGTCAGCGGGGCTCGAACTCACGAGCTGTGAGATCCTGAACTGAGCCAAAGTCAGATGCTTAGCCGACTGAGCCACCCAGGCACCTCACTTTGTTGTAAATTTTATAAAGTCAGGATGAATGCGCTGATCTGTACAAAAAAATCCAAGTTCCTTTCTCAGCATCCTCTGAAAGTGAACAAAGGATTTAAAAATTTATCATTATGAATTATAGATTGAAACGCTTGAAGTTTTTGATTCATATTTGTAAAATGTTTTATTTTTAAAAGTGGGGCAGGGGGTGAGAGAGGGTGACAGAGGATCTGAAGCTGCGTCTGCACTGACAGCAGGGAGTCCAACGTGGGGCTTAAAACTCATGAACCATGAAATCATGACCTGAGCCGAAGTCGGACGGTCAATTGACTGAGCCACCCAGGCACCCCTTAATTCATTTGAAATATTGTTCTTCTTGATGCTCAAATCTTTTTTTTTTTCTTTTTGGCATAGAAAATCTCTCCAGCTAGGCTCCAAAAAAATTTTTTTTGAAAAGATGCCCATAATCTATTTGCTTTTTGTTACATCTGCTTGTGCATTTCTTGCTTTAGACCTGAAATCACTCCTTTCTCCCAAAAGCCTGGTTCCTTTAGTAGGAATTGGTATTTGAAAACCACAAAATCAGTACCAGTATTGTTCATTGCTACTGCATTGGTCATTGTTTCCAGGAGTTTTCAGTGGACAGCATTAAGAGACATTGTCTTCAAAAATTTTTAATGTTTATTTATTTTTGAGAGAGAGAGAGAGAGAGAGAAGGGGAGGGGCAGAAAGAAACTGGGAAACACAAGATCCGAAGCAGAGTCCAGGCTTTGAGCTGTCAGCACAGAGCCTGACATGGGGCTCAAACTCATGAACTGTGAGATCATGACCTGAGCCAAAATCAGACGCTTAACCGACTGAGCTGCCGCAGTGCCCCTAAGAGACATTATTAAAAAAAAAAAAAGATACGTTATGAACTCACATTGGTCCTTCTAATTCAAATCCAGGAATACAGTGTTCTAATTAGTTGAGCTCTTTGATCTCGCATCCATTACTCCCTCCTCTCTGAAATTCCTGGTGCCCCGTGATACCTACCTAAATACTCATTTGCATGACCTCATACTACACCCATAAACAGTCTCAGACTAACAATGCTAACTCTATTATCCAGAATAAATACACAACATTTTACAAATTATATTCCAATATATATTTGTATGTTTGCATCCTGTATCCTCCCTTATTGAACAATAGTACGTTACATACATTTCTCCATCTTGCTCTTTCCCCTCAACAATACAGGCTGGAGAGTGTGCCATAGTATATATAGATGTACTCCTCATTCCTTCTCAGAGCTGCCCAACACTACACTGTGTGGATACATGTATTTGACAGGGTCCAATCAGGAGAGAGAAAGCACACAATAATTTGAACAGAGAAAGTTTAACACTTTTTTTTAAGTAGACTCCATGCCCATTGTGGAACTTGAACTCACAACCCTGAGATCAAGAGTCCCATGCTCTACCCATAAAGCCAGTCAGGTGCCCCAATTTGAACAGAGAGAGTTTAAATATATATATATACATATACATATATATATATATATATTTAATGTTTATTTATTTTTGAGAGACAGAGAGACAGAGTGTGAGCAGGGGAAGTACAGAGAGAGGAGGAGACACAGAATTTGAAGCAGCTCCAGGCTCTGAGCTGTCAGCACAGAGCCTGACGCGGGGCTCGAACCCACGAACCGCGAGATCATGACCTGAGCCGAAGTTGGCCACTTAACCGACTGAGCCACCCAGGCGCCCCCAGAGTTTAATATAAAGAATTATTGACAATAACTGGGGATTGGACTGAGGGGGTGGGCAGCAAGAAGAAATGAGACTATAAAGAAATGTAAGAAGAGTAAGAAACAGGGAGTCACCACAATCCCCGCCCTCCCCCCCACCCCCAACCAGAGTTATGACAAGAAGGAGTCCACTCTATCCCCAGGGATGAGGTCTAGACTGTTGGAGAGAGCCAGCTTTAGCTCACTGGATGTCAGAGAAACTGTTAGATGCCACATTGGTGGAACTTGCTGGAAATCCTCTGTACCGTGTGCTAAGGAAAGCTTTTTTCACAGAAGGAATGTTACGGAGGTACTTTGCTACACAGTTGCTCAAGGGGGTGTGAGGGGAAGCTGGTGGGTCCAGTTGCTGCCGGCCAGTGTGCGCTGCAAGAGCGGATGCTGGAGAGGTCCTGGGCGATGCAGGAGCACGCACGACCCCCACAACAGAACCAGGAAGAAAAGCTCTTCCTCCTGCAGTGTCTCTCCAGCGCCCTCTAGCTGCAAAGCTTAACATCATGCCAGAGAGCACACAAAACACAGGGGGCTCAGATCCATTTTCTGACATCAGGCAATGGAGGTTTGAATTGAGAGCTGATTTAATGCATTGGTAATTGGCACAATATACAGTTTTATTCACTCAGTACCCTCTTTATGGATATTGTATTCCAGTCTTGCTAGTGCCAATATTCAGCAGGATTTTAACCAAATCAATTATCATTTGTTTACACATTTGACATTTCTGAGTCCAGCACAGTCTTCATTTTTAAATACTTTATAATCTAGAAGAAAAGGTGAAATTATGCAAATAAATGTAACAAAAAGTAGAATTTCCTGGGTATCTTCTCAATTCTACCTAAATTCTGAGGAATAAGACCACTTCTGGTTGCAGTAAGCAGGACGAACTTAAAGGGAGTACTAACAATTCCAATCAGCCTTCAAAGTGTAGGGGAAGTTCACTTCAAAAAGGAATGTGAGCTGAGGGCTCAGGTCAGGGAGACTGCTGTGCTCAGACAGAGCCCAGTTTAGCTGAAGCTTAGAGTAGATGGTCTCGAAGTGTTCAGAGTGTGGTTCCTGGACCAGCGGGATTAGCAAAATGTACATCTTCAGCCCCCACCCATAACTGGGAGCAAGTGCAGCGATTTGTGTCAGCGAGTCTGCCAGGGGATTCTGATGCATGCCCGGCTTTGGGAAGCACAAGCAGAGAGAGTATCTGAAGGAGACTCAGTATAAAAGCCATCTCCAAATTTTTGATCATGTACCTATATTGGTAAACTTGTAGGGTTATGCATACTGATGTACATATATTTTTTATAAGGTAATATTCAGTGTTGTACTGTTATGTATGTTATAAAACACATCGGGAATAAATATGAAAAGAGAAAAACAAGAATGCAAACTCTCCTGTATCCTTCTAGCACCACACATACCCTTGACCAACCCACTTTGGAGACCCCTGAGTCAGGTAGGCAGTGACTGTACGGTGGAGACGTACAGCCAGGGTCTTTTCCTTCAGCTGGTCAAATTTAGAAAGGCAAGTTAGGGTCCTCATCTGGCGGCAGTAAGGGAAGGTGGTGTTTTGGTGGAGAGGGAGCAGGAAGCCACCTATGCGGGCGTCACGAGGTTTTCCTGGAGAAAACAGTCTCTCCTACTGCAATTTTCCTTCGCAGACATCAGGGCAAGTTTCTTAGGAATAGAAAAACTATTGTCACAAACATGTGAGTGTTTCCTTTTCCCAGCTACGCTTAAGTTGTACTTGGGTTAAGGATCTCTGGTTTTCACCTACCCTCCCCCACTTGCCTTGCGTGTGCTGTTTAGATTTAAATTTTTAGCCTTTCAAGGGGTGCCTGGGTGGCTCAGTCGGTTAAGTGTCTAACTTCAGCTCAAGTCACAAACTCACCGTTCTGAGTTCGAGCTCTGCGTCGGGCTCTATGCTGACAGCTCGGAGCCCGGAGCCTGCTTGGATTTCTATGACCCCCTCTTTCTCTGTCCCTCACCTGCTCACGTACTCTCTCACTCTCAAAAACAGACATTGAAAAAATTTAAAAATAGCTTAAACTTTTAGCCTGTTGATATTGAGAAAAATAATAAAAGGAAAACTCATTTAGGGTGGAGTTAGGAGGTGGGCAGGGGGGCTGCTGGGCCAGCATTAGCAATTGCAGGCTCGACCGCAGGCGTCATCTTGCAGGCGGACACTGCGTAGGAAGGGTTTCCTGCTACTCCAGCCACAGCCGAGCCAATGAGAAGCCACTATACTCCCAGCTCCCAGGTTAGGCCAACGGAGATTCTGTTTACAACGGCCCCGCCCACCCACCTTGTAGCAGCGCCTCCAGGCCCTGTTCTGAGACCTCCTGGCGGTTCCCGCGAAGCTGGTCCTGGGACTTTCTGCTATTCTCAAGTAACACCATCTTTCCTGGTAATTTAGCTGGCAGTATGATTTTTAAGGTTAACATCTTAGTAAGATACACTATCTACAGATCAAAGTAGAATGTATTTTTTACAACTTTTCAACCCACGAGCAACAATTTTAGCTCTACTTCGGTGTTATTAAAGTTTTTACAATTTTTTGCCATAGTTTTTTTTTTATCTGTTGTTAATTACCTTCAGACACCGTTTTTTATCGAGATTTTAAGCGAGGCTTTTTTGAGGCATGATTTACAGACCTCCTAGGGCTCAGTTACCCGCAGGCCGGGTGGCGTCCGTGCGCGCGGCTGTCAACAGCGTCAGCGACGTGCTTCCTGACCGCATGTGCCGCACCGCAGCGCCCAGGCCACGCCGGCGCTCCTCCCGCTCCCCCGCCGCGCGGGCACCGGAGGGCCTGCAGGCAGCGGCCGGCCCCGCCCCGCAGGCGGGAGCGACCCAGTCCGCTCCCCAACCCTGTACACCGGTCGCCCCGCCCCCGGAAGTGCGGAAGCCGCCTTGGCCCGGAAGTCAGCCGCCAAGCCCGGCCCCCGGCCGTCCAGAAATTCCCTACAGTCCCCGCCCCAATCCCGGAAGTCAGGACGCCCGCTCTCTAGAGTCCGGAATTCGGCCGCCCCGCCCCCGACCCCGGAAGTCGGCGGCTGGCTGTCCGCCGCGAGGTCCGGCCCTGCGCCCGCGCCTGCTGCGTCCTGCGCTTGGTAGGCGCGGGGATCGGGCCACCGCCGAGGGGTGCGAGCGGGGTGCTGCCGGCGCAGAATGGCCACCCCTGGGTGCGGGGGCGCCCTGGCGCTGCGGGAAGCGGGCCGAGCGCTCGGGGCCTGGTGTGGGGGTCGGGGTAGCCCAGCGGCAGACCGAGACCTAGGACCCGGGTGTGTCACTTGAATGCAGCCTTTCCTGTCAGATGTTTGATTTGACCTTCCCGCAGTTTCTGCAAAGCCCCCCGCAGCCGGGGCCCAGTGCTCCGCGGGCGCTGCGGTCTGCGGCGCAGGAAGGCAGGCCGCTCGGCGCAGCATTCGTCCAGCTGATGCTGGTGTTCGTCCCGACCCTCCGTTGCGTAGCCTGTTCCAGGGGCCGGAGGGGACCGGAGAGTGTTCTCGGCCCACGACAGGGCGACTCAAACCACCGCCTTTCAGTTCCCGTTCTTGTGGAGGCCCGCACAGGGAACCGGGGGCGGGCCGCGGTGTCGGAAGCTTGAATGCAGGCTGCGGAGGGCTAACGGTTTCCAGGTTGGACGCGGGCGTGTGGCGGTCAGGTGCCTGTTGACGCTTTGCGAGTGTGAGCAGGGCAGGTAGCCCCGGTGCAGTCGGTGTAACTGAGCAGAGAAGGGCCGTGCAGAAGAGAGGGTGCCTGGGGGCTGCAGAGACTGCCGCGGGCTCAAGCCGGCGGGTTCCGTTGGGGCCCAGGCTTCCTTCCTGGGGAGGAGCTGGGCACCTGCGAGCAGGCAGTGGCGGGAGGGCTCCAGCTGTCCGTCTGCCCGTCCGCAGCCCGTCTCCTGTTGAGAGTGCTGCCCGCGGAGTCCAGGGATGTACATGCAGGTGGAGTCACGCACCAGCTCCTGCCTCCATCTGAAGAGGGCTCCAGGCATCAGGTCCTGGTCTCTGCTTGTTGGTAAGGATGTCCATATTTTCCCCCAGGTTAAAAACCTAACTTTAAAAAAAGATGAAAATGAAACTAAATTGTTCCTTTTCTATTACCCCCAAGTATACCAATTATTTTGTTACTTTGTATTTTCCCAGCCTTTACCTTCTGGGCATGCCTTTGCCGAGGACTCCGGTCTGCCCTGTCTTTTTTCATCACTTAGCCCCTCGTGCTGTGCGTGTTCTTCTGAGGTCTTGCTGGTCCCCTTTGAACTTGTTTTCATACACCTGCTGCTTGCAGGTGTATGCTGCAGGCTCACCTGATGGGCCACAGTTCGTTCCTGTTTTTCCTGTCCCTGTTGCTGTCTGTTCAAGGGTCCTGCACCCGAGGGGCAGCTGCGCTGTGCTGGCGGGATGGGGGGGCGTGAGGCGTGGAATGGCTGTGCTGGTGGCAGCGGTCTCTGGCCCATCTTCCCCATCACCCTGCACGTGGCCTGCCTCTTCTGCCTTATGTGCCATGTTGTGAACTTGACGTACAGCTTGTGTTCCCTCCAACATGCTGTTGGCAGGTTCCTCTGTCTGGTTCCCCAGTTAGCCGTGGAGCCTTGAGTGGAGAAGCGTGTCCAGAGAACACTGTGAATGGGATTTGCCATGTTTCTGAGTGAACTTTCTGGATGTTTCCGTCACTTAAAAATATTTAGATTCTAGTTACTTAACATACAGCGTGTTTTCCCCCTTGTGAGCCTGGTGGTCTTCTGTCCCCACTGCTCCCCGCCTGCAGCCATTCCCGGCCCCTGGAAAGGTCTGCCCATCTGGGCCTGTGGCTCCTGGGAGGAGGGGGCTCTGGGCTGGTGGTGGCCCAGTGCCGACGCACCTGCTTTCTTTTGTCTTTGCAGGAATCTTGTCGATTGGCCTGGCTGCCGCCTACTATAGTGGAGGTGAGGTGCTTCATCTGCTCACCCCCACCCTCGCCCTGCAAAGTCACTTCCTCCGCCGTTTAGGAAATTGAGAAAAGAAACAAAACCCTTCATTTGTGACCCACCAAGGCACAGCCTTTGGCACTGTCGGCCCCCCTCCCCCTGCAGCCCCAGCTCTGTGCACGGGTGGAATTTTCCTAACATGTTTCTACCACGAAGCCTGTGATTTTCCCTTATATCCGGAGCATTTTCCTGTGTCATGAAATGTTCCTCCCAAAGGCTCTCTCTTGTAGCGGCCTGAGGTTCTGGTGTGGGCTGAGCCATACTTGCAGCCCCCGTAAGTGCCTACCCTCCGCTATCACAGACGATGCCACGATAGGCAGAGACTGGCCAGCTCTGACTCCTGTCTCCGGTAGACACTGGAGGGAGAGCCGAGGGCACACACAGCTGGCCGGCCATCCTGGTTCCTTGCAGGCACGGGCAGGCAGCTGGCCCCAGACACCACTCCTGCCCGGTGTTCACTGGGGTGGGGCCCCGTGGCATGTCGGCCTTCACCCCTCTGCTGCCGCCCTTCACCTGGCTGCGTCCTGTGTTTGCTCCTCAGACACTCTGGGCTGGAAGCTCTTCTATGTCACGGGCTGCCTGTTCGTGGCCGTGCAGAACCTGGAGGACTGGGAGGTAAGGCCGGCACTGGCACGGGCGCTCGGCTGCTTCTGCTCCGGGCTTCCCCGCGTGGGCATCACAGCAGGAGAGGCTCTGAGGCCTGAATTTTAGCTTAGTGGTTTTTGGGGGATTCGGCCCCGGGGCCGAGGAATCTCCTGACACTGTTTTTCTTCTAGAAGCTCTTCGTGACTGTTTCCACCAAAATTCTTTACTCTTGATGTTGCCATAGCACAGAATAGAACGATGGGCCCCCTTGGTGGCCCGTGTCTGTCTCAGTGGCCAACAACTTTGCCTGTGCCTTAGTTCCCTTCATGGGGAACCACATGACCCAGTGTTGCTCTCTGACCTCCAGACTTTGACCTCCATGCCTTTGTCTGATGACCCTGGCCACGGTACTTCTCTTTTGCTTGCAGAGAGCGCCTGCTTTGACGCCCCTCTTTCTCTCTACATGCCCCGGCTCCATGCTCCCAACAGACAGGAGCGCGAGAGCATCTGGCTGCCGGTGTTTGGCTCTGGCAGAGCACTTGGCTGGCGGGGTTGGGTTTCAGCTGAGTGTCTTCCCTAGTGTCTGCTCTGGTGAATCAGGGCCCCCCTCTCTGGAAGGTTTGCGTGTGGCTGGCTTGCAGAGAGGCCAGCAGCTGGGTGATCACCTTCTGGCCACTTTTCCAGGAAGCTGTCTTCAACAAGAGCACTGGGAAGCTTGTGCTGAAGACGTTCAGCCTGTATAAGAAGCTGCTGACTCTTTTCCGAGCTGGTCACGACCAAGGTGAGGCGCAGAGAGTGCACAGGACCTGGGTGTGGCAGGAGGCCGGGTGTCCCAAGCCAGATGAAGGGTGGTGAGGGGGACTACAGAGACCAGGCCTGTGGTCTGGGAATGGGGTGGCTCCAAGCTGGCTTGTGGACACAGGGTGCCCCCAGACATTGCTGGGTAGCCCCTGGCTCAGGGGCCAGCCATTAGGAACCAGGAAGGTATTTTTCAGCAGTTGGGGGAAAATGAAGCAGAAAGATGGGCATCACAGAGCTTAGCCCCTCCCTCATGCTCTTGGGGCACGGGCACTTTTCGGGACGGCAGGAGTGCTGCATGCCCAGACAACGCTAGTGGCCCAGCCCTGCACTGTGGTCACTGACCAGTGACGAGGGTCTCTGTGTGGTGGCTCCGAAGTGGCTGTGCCCAGCACACAGGCAGGAGGGTCAGGCAGGAGGGGGCCAGAATGCAGACACTGACTGGCTCCCCTGCAGTGGTGGTCTTGCTGAATGACATCCGGGACGTGAACGTGGAGGAGGAGAAGGTTCGCTATTTCGGGAAGGGCTACGTGGTGGTGCTGCGGCTCGCAACGGGCTTCTCCCACCCCCTCACCCAGAGTGCCATCATGGGCCACCGCAGGTACGCTGTGGGCAGGAGAGACTGTGCCCGTCACCCCCGTCAGGTGGCCCTCACGGTGGACTGCCCAGCATGGCAGGGTACAGGGAAGGGACTTGGGGAAACATGGCCTGTCCTTGCCGCTAGAGGAAGGTTGGGATTCCCCAAAGGGACAGAGGGTCCTCGTGAAGACAGGGCTGGGCTCGGGTCAAGTGAGAGGTGGGACCAGAACAGAAGGCAACACGTCTGGGAGGTGGGTGGTCCGGCAGGAGGCGGGCCAGCACGTCTGCCGTGGTAACTCGCCCCTCTTCCTGTTGCCCGGCCCAGTGACGTGGAAGCCATCGCCAAGCTTATTGTCACCTTCCTGGAGCTGCACCGCCTTGAGAGCCCCGTGGAGCTGTCTCAGAGCAGCGACAGTGAGACCGATGGCCCCGGGTGCCGGAGCTGACGCCCGCAGAGCTCTGGACTTGCTTCTGGCGGCAGCCTCTTGGGCCTCAGGGGCCACAGGTCTTCCTCCAGAGCCTGGCTGTGCCCCTGGCAGCCCCAGGGTGGGACCCTCCTCCGTTCCTTCTGCTTGCTTCCGTCCTCTGAGCAAACCACAGGCTGGACCTTCTTTCTCTGTAGGCTTTGAGGTGTCCAGGGAGGGCCTGAGCCTCAGATCTGCTGCTTCCTGGCATCAGGCGACTCCAGCCCGGGCAGCGTGGGGACCAGGTCTCTGGAATGGGAAGGATGCCCAGGCTCCCCAGGGTGGGGGAGGGAGGTTTGCCAGCACTCGCTCCCTGCAGGCTGTTGAGGCCCCAGTACAGCAGGCGAGCGTAGGGCCCGCAGCTGGGCCAGGTTCTGAGGATGCCTACGCTGGCGTGCCGTCCCCAGCGCGCCCTGCATGCAGCCTCCCTTCCCTGGCTGGATGTCCTCACTGGTTAGAGGTCCTTGCCCAGGATCTGCAGGGCCCAGGGTCCTGTCTGGCTGTGTTCACTGCAGCCGTGCCCGAGGCCTCCCCGGCTCACAGACCACAGTCTCCAGCCAGGACTGCAGCTGGGCCGTCACAGGGCAGGGAAGGCCTCAGCCTAGGAGAAGTCTGCGGGTCAAGAAGAGGCTTTCCTGGCTTCACGGTGGGCCTAAATGAGGGCATCTCCCTTAGGAATCAGGTCCTGGCTCCCTGAAACCAGGCAAGAAGTGGGCTGGGCCCACAGCTGCCCCTCAGTGGGGCCCAGGGCCGCAGGGTGGCGAGGGCCCCTCTGAGCGGGCACTCAGGAGGCTGTGTCTAGGAACGGCCAGGACACGGAGCGCCACAGTGTCCCCAGGCCCTGGGTTAGTGAGGACAGCAGTTTCGATCTAGGAAGCAAGAGAAACGAGACTCTCCCCCTTTTCAGTGGTGGCTGCTAACTAGTCCTAAGTTGGGGACGCGGTCATTTATACAGCCAGAGTTAGGGTTTTAAGTGGTTAAATCTGAAAGCTGTTTTCTAAAATAAAGTATGAAATGCCGTAACGGGTGTGTGGTATGTTCATCCCCAGATGGTAGGTGCTCTGAGCTGTGGAGGGGTCTGTTTGGCCGGCTCTGCCACTCTCCTTGCTGGGCCCCCAGGGTGAGGAAGGTCTCGGGGCCCCTGTGCAGGCCTGACTGCAGCCAGACGCACGGTGCTTCTAGCTTCCACTCTTTTATTTCAAAAGAACGGACGTTCCACACGCAGACCGGTCAGCAGCCCCGCGTGCCTCCTGCAGGTTTCCCAGTGGCCCTTCCAACGATGACCGTCTGCACTGTGGGTGCTGCCTGTGGCCGCGGTCCGGCCGCTGGGCGGGACAGGCTCAGGCTCGGCCCTCCCCTCAGGGGTCCTGACCCGAGTGCGGGCTGGGGCTGAGGCTGGCGCCGGCCGCCTCCCTGAGGTCCTGCACCAAAGCCTGCAGCCGCCGCAAGCTGGGCCGCACGTTCTCCTCCAGCCACTCCTCCACGGCGTCCGGGTAGAAGACGCGGTGCAGGGAGGCCTCCAGCTCCTGCCCCAAGGTGCTCCACCTGGCCAGGAGGCTGAGGACCACAGCCGGCGGTGAGCTGGGCGCCCCTGGCGACAGCCCACAGCCTGTGCACTATGCTCACATCCCCAACACCCCTACAGGTCAGTATGGTTCTATGCCTCAGTTTACCCATCCCTAAACCAGGGCTACTAGTGCCCACTTCACAGGGTTGTTGGGGATAAATGGATGACTGTCATGTTTTCACATCTGAAATGGATGCTCTTTATGGCTGGCCCGCAGGGCTTTGCTTTATGTGCGAACCTGTCAACCCTCTGTGGACACTGATTGGCTCTCGGCTCAGAGCTACGAGCCAGGAGAGGACCGGGGGGGCTGGCTGGCCAGAGCCTGTCCCCACAGCGCCGGGGGGGATGTGGGGCATGCGGCAGCAGCAAGGCCAGGGCTGGTCCCCAGCAGGTCTGGCTCCATGATGAGCCCTGGCCCCTGCCCAGGGTGTTCAGTGACCCTCACCTTGTCAGGCTAGGAGTGCCCTAGCCTCTCTAACGCTTAAGGCACAGCAGAGTCAGCGAAGATGATTCACCCTGGAATGCATGGCTGCAGTTCCTACAAAGCTCATCTTATTTCAAAGCCAGTAGCCACAGAAAGCTGTCATCAGGTGGCAGAGAACCCGCAGCCCTGGGGACGGGCACCGCAGGGAGGGGTGGCTACCTGAGCGCCTGGGGCTGGATGTGTTGGACCATGACGGGGTGGATGGACTTCCGCCCGCGGTGGTAGGGGCTGAACCAGCCAGTCACGTACCTGCGGGCAGATCCACACAGGCAGACCTGCTGCAGCTAACGGGTCGCCTCAGGGGGGTGGACATTTTAAACAGCTGCTTCCCCCTAGAAAGTCGTCGTGCAGGATGGGCCACCCTCACCCTGTCCCGTGGGCAGTGCTCACCTGTCCCTCTCCAGTAGCGCGTCCACGGAGCTGCGCAGGTGGAGGGCGACGTGCATGACGAGGACCAGGATGTCGCTGCCAGGGAAGGAGCCGGCCCCCTCGCTGCACGGAGAGCCACCGTGCTGAGACGGGTCCACAGGATGTGAGGGCAGAGGCATGGCAGGGGGTGGGCAGGTTACCTCGTAAAATCAGTTATTTCTAGGCTTGAGATCCCGAGAAAGTTCTCCACTCTTGCTTTAACATCTTCGGCAAAGCCTCCTGCAACCGACCACAGATGGAGGTGGTTGGAGGGGCCCCTGGAGGAGGGGGAGGCAGGGGCCTTGCGCCACGGTGCTGGCCTGGTGGCAGGCAAAGTGGCCAAGGAGGCCAGCGTGCAGGTGCCGGCCCCAAGGAGACCTCAGGGACGGGTGGGATTAGACACATGAAAACAGGCTCAGTACGTTAGAAACGAGAACACAGAAGACCAAGAGCAACGGCGCCACTCGGGACACCACCAGCTGTGCTGCCGGCGCCCCCGCGGTGTCCCGGATGCACGTGGCAGCTGGTGGGTGTGGTTTCTCACACGCGGAGCTGCAGGTGCCACTGTGGGCCAGGCCCCCCAGGAGCGTGGGGGACACGTGCCGCCAGGGCAGGAGCAGCCGGGAGGGCAGAGGGCTCCACAGAGCAGGGCGGCTGAAGCCAGCGCCCCGTGCGAATGCGGGTGTCTGTCCGCTGGGGTGTCCCCGGACCTTCCTCTTAACGGGTCACGACTAACGCTTCAGAAGGCATCAAATAGAGTGGAGGGTCGGGGTCTGTGCTGTTCCTCCTGCACGCGGCCAGCACGCGGTAGGGGAGCCGGGCCCTGCTTTCCCCAGTGCCTCCCTCGCCCTTCTGCACCAGCACCACATGCAGCGCGCAGTCCCGTGGTTCAGGCACACACGGGTCCGTGTCCCCTGCGAGCCCTCGTCTTTGCCAAAGTGGGGAGTGCGGGGGCCAGCTCTGGGCGTTTGGTGGATTCATACAGTGAAAGCAGAGCCCTTTCCTGCACCTCACCCACGGTGAGGTCCTTCACGGGCTCCGTGTCTGGGGGCAGCGGGGTGGGGTGGCTGAGTCCTCTGCTGGTGTGAAAGCCCACAGTCCAGCCCCAGGAGACAGCTGGCGGCATCAGGCACTCTCAGCTCTGTGCCTCCTGCCCTCCTGCCCCCCGGGAGGAGCCGGGGGCCATACCGTGTAAGAGTGACTGCAGACAGACGGCCAGGGAGGGGATTCCCACAGGCAGCAACTCGCACAGCACGGAGAAGTGGTCATACCTAAGTGCAGGGGAGAGGGGTGCTCAGCTCCTGCTTGTACACTATCCCCTGCACACGGGACAGGGCTGGTTGCTGCCTCTGGAAACGTCCCACCCAGAAGGCCCTGGCTGGGGCTTAATCCTCTCAGGCGGGTGGGGGGACTGGGAGGGGCCCGCAGTCCCTCACCCCTGCCCCCAGGCCTCACCTGGGGCCCGCAGCTGCCTCCCCCTGCCCTCCAGGCCACAGCAATGGACCAGGCCTTGGCCAGGACCAGGGGTTCACGTGCAGCTCCACTTTCAAATGGGGTGAAATCCCCACGGAGCCAAAATCTGTCCCCACGCCCACCATATGTGAGACAAGTCACGTGTGGCCCCTAGAGGCGGGGCTGCCCATGGTGCAGAGTGGCCCCTGTGCAGAGTCTGGGGGACGATCATGGGGGCGTGAGGCACCCAGGCTCTTCCCCTCTGCCTGAGGCCCAGAGTGGACGGGCCAAGGAGGGGTGGTGCGTCTTGCGCAGCAGCACTGCTTCGACCCTCCGGGCAGGCTGGCCCGAGGGCTCCCCCGGGGCCGGTGCCACCTCACCTCTGCCAGCCGGTCAGGACAATGCCCTGCAGCATGTCTGCAGGCCCGCTGGCCGCCACCTGCAGCCATTGCAAGTTGTTCCTGAGGTGATGCTCGATGGGGGTCAGGGCCTGGCTTGCCCCCGTGGCCCCCTTGAAGGCACTGGCAGCCCACAGCCGGAGAAAACCACACTTCCGGTACTTTTCCATGAGAAGACCTAAGCGAGAAGGTGAGCGGTGTGACTGGCCTGGGTCCTGAGGGGCTGTGGCCGTCGAGCTCAGAACTGGGAGGAGCCCACAGCCAGACAGGCTTAACATCTCCATGAGAGAAGAGACACTGGGAAAGTACCAGAGAACAGGCCATCCTGGCATGACCTGAGACAGGATGTGTGCCAGCGGCTCCCGGGGCTCGCGGGGGGAGGGGCCTGAGGGGAAGCTGAGACTGTTTGAGGGATCCTGACGAACCCCGTGCCCAAGGCCCCCGTGTGCCCCCAGCTGGGCCACCAGGGCTCCAGGGTCTCAGAGGCCGCGGCCAGGTTACTGACCTTTGCCGTGGATGTCTAGGTCAGCCCCGTAGTCCCAGAGCACTGGCTCCACCAGCTGCGGCACCCCCGATGCTGGGGGCGGAGAGAGGCTGTGAGCTGAGGCCCTTCTGGACACACCCCTGCAGCCCACAGTCCTCGCGTCACAAGGGAGCTTGAGTTTTAAGGACAGACTCAAAATGGGTGAGTTTTTGACAAGTAAATGTTGCAACCATGAAGCTGGCCAACTTTGTAAATAACCGAACTCTGGGAGTTCTGTAAACGGTGAGCCCCCAGTCTGGGGTCCCAGAGCTTCCTACGAGGGGGAAAGGCTCTGTCTGCAAGTAATGGTGGGGGTGCAGGACCCAGTACAGTGGGAACACATTGCTACTTGGATTAATTTTAATTAATCTTGGTGAGAACCTGAGTGGCCACACCTGAGGAGGGGCTGCCGCGGACACACCCAGCCCTGCAGAAGCAGGGGCAGCGGCCAGGTTCTGGGCTGCGGCTGTGAGGCGACCACAGGGTGTGTCTCTGTCTCAGCCCAGAGCCTCAGCCATGGCCCCTATGGTGCTGGCCACGGGGTCGTGCGGGGCTGAGGCTGTCGGAGGCACTGGACACTCAAGGCCCAGCGGGACCCTTTCGCCGCCATCCCCACCCCCCATTAGGGCCCCATGGCCGTTCTCCGTTCAGACTCATCACTTTGTACGCCCATAAGACTAAAATGCCTTCTGGGGGAATGGCACTTCTGTGTGAGAAAGTCCAGAAGGTGGCCCTATGGGGGTTGCCTGGAGAGAGCGCTTCGGGGCGGGGGTCCCACAGTGCTCCCCCCGCCCCCAGCAGCCGGGGTCCGGGGAGCCGCTGGCCTCCTCACCCCCGGCACCGGGAGCCTGGGCGCACGCCGCAGACCTGAGAGCTGGTCCTCAGGGATGGCCCGCAGCATGTCGTCCCACACCAGTGGCGTCGTGGTGGGGTGCCGGGCCAGCACGTGGCGGGCCACGGCCTTCATGTGGGACAGACACAGTCTTGCTTTGGTGTTATGTTCCTGTTGCAGCCACCGCCTCGAGGCCTCACCCTCTCCAAGGTAATAGACCTGGAAGGAAACACCGGTCTGCCTCCGGACCGCCCGGCCTCACGGCAGACACGCTTGGGAGAGACCGCGCTCAGGCCGCGTCCGACGGGCCTCGGGCAGCTGCGTGTGGGAGGAGCTGGTGAAGGGACCCTCCTTCTTCACCGAGACCTAACTTCCACTCAAGATTTCCTCTGAACGTTCACAGCAGCCTGAGGGCAGAGAGTACCTGAGTGTCCGCCAGCCTACGAGCACGTAAGGAACGTGGGGGCCGGCTCTGCGCCTGCCGGGGGTGAGGACAGCATGGCCGTCTCAGGCCACAGCCCATCCCTCATCTGGCTCCACGGCTCTGCCCGCGTGCGGTCACGGGTCAGCTGGGAGGGATGCCCTCACTTTATCCTTCATCCTTTGGAATGGGGACTAGTTTTGTACGTAAGAGAATCACAAAGTGGGACCAGGAGCCGGGGCTGCGGCAGGAGGGATGCCCGGCAGGCGAGGCTCAGGCGGAAGAAGCGTCCAAGGACCCACCTCATCGCAGCCGACGTGGAGCCACCGGGCGCCCGGGTGCAGCTCCATGACCTGGCTGATCATGGCTCCCACCAGAGCCAGGGACTCCGCCTCGTGGGGGTTCAGGGTGTTAGGGAAAAGCGCCACTTCTCGGAGGTGAGCGAGAGCCTCATGCTTCAGCACAAACTGCGGAGAGACAGGAGGTGACAGGCGCTGCGGCCACGCTGTGGAGTCACAGGCAGGGCCTGCTCCAGGTCCCCAAGAGGGCACTGGCGGGCCAGTCTGAGCCCCTCTTTCCGCGTGGTCTGCGCGGGCTGCCTGGGCTGCTTAGTCCGTCCTCCCCAAACAAGTGCAGAACAGAGACACTGGTCGAACAGCCGCTGCAGGGCTCCGGACGCGAGCCGCAGGTGAACAGCACACCTGGACGCGTCTGTGTCAACAGCTGCCAGCCCGGCAGTAAGAACAGAGTCTGCGGCCCCCCCACCACCCGGGGCTGTCTGTGCACAGACCGCCTCGGATCACCGGATCACTGTCCATGAACACGGCAAACTCGCCCGAAATCTGCGGCCCTCACGGGGGCAGGCTACCACCAGCCAGACACGTGGTGGTGACCATGGAAACGAGAGCTGCGTGCACACGGCCGAGGCAGGGGACTGGCTGAACTCCCAGAGTCCCCAGACCCTGCAGCACAGGGTGGGTCCTGATGGCTCAAGCACACCGCTGCCTGGGCCCTGACTGACCACCAGCCATAAAGACAGAGAGGTGGCCCCTAGGAAGCCAGGCCAAAAATACAAATTAGAATAAAAAACTATGGGGCACCTGGGTGGCTCAGTTGGTTAAGCATCCAACTTTGGCTCAGGTCATCATCCCATGGTTCATGAGTTCAAGTCCGGCGCTGGGCTCTGTGCTGACAGCTCAGAGCCTGGAGCTACTTCAGATTCTGTGTCTCCCTCTCTCTCTGCCCCTCCCCTGCTCATGTTCTGTCTCTGTCTGTTTCTCAAAAATAAATAAACATTAAAAAAAAAACACACCAAAAAAACCCAACAGAGCCATCAGCTGGGGAGATAGGCCCTGCAGGTTAAATCCAGCCAATTTACCACCACTTGCAGGGGAAAAAGCAGATTCTCTATAACATTATCTGAAACATCCAATTCTCAACCAAAAATCATGAGATGTGCAAATAAACCGGAAAGTGGAACCCAGACTCAGGGAAAAAGCCAACTGATAGAAACGGACACTGATGTGGGCCCAGATGTCAGATTTATCGATTACTTCAAAGAAGCCATTATGAAAACGTTCCCAGAATTAAACTATAATAATGAAAAATGAAAATCCATTTCGCGGGCTCCACGGAAGATTTGAAATGTCAGAAGGGACAGTGACTGGGACGACAGACCAACAGGGACTCCTCAACCTCAACGACACAGAGAAAAAGTGGGGCGAACGAAGAGACCCAGAGGCCCGTGCGGTGACGTGAGGCACACTAACGCGTGTGTGAAAGGAGGCCTGGCGGAGGGGAGGGAAGGGACACAGCAACACTTGAGGACGTGGCCCAAAACTTCACAAAAGTGATGACAATAATCTACAAGTAGTCCAACAAACCCCAGGCAGGACAAATGCAAAGAAACCCCTAGAAGTCCTAACCAAACTGCTACAGCAGGGCAACGGCGAACAGCGAGTCTGAGAGCATCAAGAAGAGAAAAGCCTAGGGAAGCAACAACATAAGGAAAGGCTGACAGAGCTTGTTCACGGATTGGAAAACTCAGCAGAGTTAGAGGTAATTTCCCCCCAAGTTGACTTACAGATTTAATACAATTGCAATAAAAATCCCAGCAATGTTTCTAATAGACATACAGATAAACTTAGTCTAAAACATATATGGCAAAGCATGAGGAGGGGCCTGAGGTCCCTCAGGGTCAGCTGAGCATCCAGCTCCTGGTTTCGGCTCAGGTCATGATCTCACAGTTGGGGGGATTGAGCCCCGTTTCGGGCTCTGCTGACAGCGGCGTGGAGCCTGCTTGGGATTCTCTCTCTGCCCCCCCCCCCCCATGTGCTCTTTCTCAAAATAAATAAAAAGAACATTTTAAAAAAGTAAAATGGACATGGAGAAGCAAAGCAACTCTGAGGAAGAAGAACAAAGTTGGAGGAATCTTACTCACTACCTGATTTTATTTACGACACAACAGAGCTACGATGATCAAGATGAGGTGGTCTTGACCAAGTCACAAGTGCTGGATCAGTGAACGAGAAGGGTTCAGAAAAGGCCCACAAATAACTTCGACTGATTTTTGACAAGCTACAAAGGCAATTCCAAATTTCAAATTCCGAAGAAAGGATAATCTCTGACTCGGTGGTATCGGCATGACCGGCTCTCTCTGTCACGGGGCCACGTGCTATGTGCAAAAAACAATAAACCTCACCTACAGCTCATGCCTTACCCAAGACGTAACTCAATACAGACCATAACAGCAAGTGGGAAGTGTGCAAATGTAGACTTTTAGAAGGAAACAGGAGAAATCCTCATGACCTGGTGACTGGCAGAGTTCTTAGAAATGACACCAAAAGTGCGAGCCATTAGGGCAAAACTGAGAAGCTGGTCTCATCAAAATTAGAGACTTTTGCTCTTTGAGACACACTGGGACATGGAGACAAAGTACAGACTCAGGCACATACTTGCAAATCACACATCGAACAACAGATTTGTATCCAGAATGGCCAGAGAACGTTAAATGCAGTTCAGAAGATGAAATGTGCAAATACTTGTACAGTTAAGTCACAAAGAGGGTGTCCTGACGGCACATAAACACAGGTAAAGGTCCTCCTCCGGAAGGAACCATCCTGAGGACACCTTAGCTTTGGACTTGCGGCCTCCAGCACAGAGAACACGCCTCCGTAGTCTCAAGTCGCCTGGCTGAGGCACGTTGCCGCAGCAGCCCCCCCGCAGCAAATGCACCCTGAGACCCCTTGAGGAGCCCCTCGAGGAGTGGGACGGAGAGCCAGGCTGTGCTCTGGAACGACAGGAGAAGGGCGCAGGGGGCACTGCTGGGGAGCCTTCCGGCGGGTCTGGTAATAGTTCACACAAGGGTGGAGACGGGGATAGCAGGTGCCGACTCAAGAGCCTGAGGAGCAAAAGCACATGATGGCCCGAAGTGCAGGGGTGAGGGGTGCCGGACAGGGCAGCGGAGACTGGGTCCGGGGATCACAGAGGCAGGAGCAGACACTGCATCGTCTAGAGAGCGCGTGAGGCGAGGAGGCAGGTTTCGAGGGAGCCGTGGGGACCGCCACACCCGGCGGCGGCTACAGGACGGCACTCTGCGGCAGAAGCGGGGTCACAGCCGGAAGCGGGGGCCGGGACAGCGTGGGGTCTGGGAGGGAGCAGCTGGGGCCACGCGCAGCCCGAGAGCAAGTAAGAGGGACTAGAACCCTCGCTGCACTTAGTGACGTGGAGGCCGTGGGGCTGCTCTGCGGGCCGTGGCCCCTGGTGGCGGGAAGCGAAGGGCAGAGACAGCACCCCGGGGAGCCTCAGGCAGGAAGGCCAGAGGCCGGGGCGGAGGAGACATTGGCGCTCAGTGCGGGAAGGGAAGGGCTGCCCAGGGGTCTAGCAGGTGTGTCTGTTACAGGGGAAATGGAACCTGTAGCCACTAAGTGTTTAATTTGCTTTTCATTTTTTTAAAAAAATTTTTTTAAATGTTTTATTTATTTCTAGGAGAGAGAGAGAGAGAGAGAGACAGCATGAGCAGGGGAGGGTCAGAGAGAGAGGGAGTCACAGACTCTGAAACAGGCTCCAGCTGGCTGTCAGCACAGAGCCCGACGCGGGGCTCGAACCCACGAACCGCGAGATCATGGCCTAGGCGAAAGTCGGACGCTTAACCGACTAAGCCACCCAGGCGCCCCTGCTTTTCATTTTTGATACAGATAGGAAACATATTTCCGAAGATCACACAGGAGCTTGGGGAAATATTTTCTGTATTGAATGATGAATACAAGTTAAAAAGCAAAACAACTCAGCTCTCAGGGCTCCGTGGGAATCAAGCACCCCCATTGGCTCTTTCCACCATTCCCTGGACAAAGTTGCTCGGATCTAGAGCTCTGTGCTCTCCAGTCATTTGCAGGGCAGGGGCTTCTAAGAAAGAGCCGCTTTCTGCCTGTGTACCCCCAACCCCCAGATCTGGGTACCAGGTAACCTGTGTTCCTCCCACCTACCTCCATGTGTCCAAACGTCTGCACCAGTGGAATGACCTCCAGCTCGTTCAGTGTAGCCAGATGCAGGATCTCTTTGATTTCAGGGGGGCTAGAGAGACAAGGGTACCCAGAGAGGTTCACACACTTCCTGTTCACACTCCAGCCCATGTTCACACACTCATGCTCCCGTTCATGTTCCCTCTCCCTTGTCAGGCTCCGGGGGGACTTTCCTGGGGGGCTATTGTGACTAGTATGGTCACTATTCCAAAAAGTGCAAAAGAGGGGGGGCCTGGGGGGCTCAGTTGGTTGGGCGTCCGACTTCGGCTCCAGTCATGATCTCATGGTTCGTGGGTTCGAGCCCCGTGTCGGGCTCTGAGTTGTCAGCACAACTGACAGGAGCTGCTTCGGATTCTGTGTCTCCCTCTCTCTCTGCCCCTCCTCTGCTCACTGTCTTTCTCTGTCTCTCGAAAAGAATAACCATTTTTAAAAAGTTAAGAAAAAATAAAACAAAAGGCAGAAAAGCCAGAAGCAGGCTGCCCCACCACTGCCAAACCCTCGCCCGCCCTGCCCACACCTCCAGGTGGCCCCACGCATCCACGTTCTCCGTGGCTGGGGTTACCTGTATGCGTGCTTGGCCCTCAGCAGCCTCAGGTGGCCATCGTAGGGAAACATGTCTTCATACTCAAGGAGCAGCCCATTGGCACCCAGGGCATGGAACAGAGGAAAGACCTGGCGGAACAGGGATGCTATGAGGAAGCAACCATCTGAAGGAAGGTGACAGACACACCTGTCTGCCTTCCTGCCTGTAGACATGGGTTGTATTGATACATTTTTCCTGGAAACGTTTGACCAGAATGCATACTTTGTGTTACACCAAGTCAAGTTCTACCACAGCAAGTCTGCACTGGACACGGGGCAGCTCAGCTTGTGGACAGCGAGGGGCTGAGCGTGTGGCAGATGTTCCCACCTCCTCCTCTACCTTTATTTCAAAGGGTATGAATTCCTATCCTCAAGGATTTTCAGGACTAGCTCATGTCTACCTTACACAGAGCTGAGATTTCCTTCTGGTCTGAGGTCAAGGCCGGGGTGGAAAAGAACACATTTTGGGCGCTACTGGGGGGGGCCTCCCGCAGTATCTGAAAGAGCAACCCCTCCCGGGATGACGGTCACTGCAGGTTCCACAAGATTGTAACACTCCTGCTAAGTGTCTGTCACGCTTTCTTTCTCCACAAGCGCGGGGACGTTCTGACGCAAGCTGGACGGAAGGAGGAAAGGAGCCTGGGGCTAAAACTTAACTGTAGAAAGTTCATAATCAGTAGTTGACTGCGAATTACAAAGAGAGGCAGACAGACTGTGGAAAGGAAAGAGCTGCGCAGATCAGGCATAGTTAGGCAACCTAAGGGTCTCAGGTCTCGGTATTTTCCATTTTCCTCGGCATTTTTGCTTCCAGTTTTCTTCTTAGGGTGTCGTGGTCATCTGACCACTGCAGCCACTTGGCACTTTGACCGCTGGGGTGGGTGGTGATCCTCTGTGTTGTGGGTGGTGGGGAGGCTATGGGGCTGGGTGGCCCTGGTGCCCCCAAACACACACTCCATCCAGCACCGGCACGGGGCTGGGGAGGTCTTCACTGTAAAGTTGCACAAGCGTGCACACATGTGACACACCAGGCCCCCTGCGTCTGCCTTCAAGACTCAAAATCATTTCACCGAATTTCCACTTTTCTGACTGGAGTACTTCTAAGCAAATCCCGGACAACACAACTGTTCACCTATAAATACTTCACTATTTATCTCTGACAAAGACTTTTTACAGAAGCACCACCACCACACCATTATGCCACCTAACCAAACGATTCTTTAGTATCATCCGGTTCAAATTTTCCTGTGTCTAGAATCTTTTCACATGAGGCGTATCTGAGACCAGTCCAGATAACACCCACAATCGTAGCCATTGCTTGAACAGATTTTTTTAAGGTTCTCTGATTTTTAACAGTACCCTTCGCTTTTTTTCTTAATTTGAAACTTATTTGTTGAGGAAACTGAGTCCCTTGTTTTGCATGATTTCCCAAATTTTGGATTTGATGGATGGTATTCTTAAGATGTCCTTTAGTGGGTTTGCTATTTCCTGTTCTTGTGTGTGCTGGTGGTTAGACGTGAAGGTGAGGTTGGATTCAGGTGATGACTTTCCAATTACGTCATTCCTCGTGTTGTGTCGGATGGCTAGAACACCGCCCTTAAGGCAGACTTTTCTCGCAGCAGTTATATGGTTACTCCAGCCCAGACGCTGGGCAGCTGGTGGTTCTTCTCCAGTAAATTCTCTTGGGTGTTTGTTTACAACAGCTGGTCTGTAGCTTTCATACCATGAAGACCACTTTGGTTGGATACAAAGTCCTTGAGTCATGTTTGATTTTCTGGAGTATCTTAAGTATATTCCTTCCTTGTCTTCTATCATAAAATGTTGCTGTCAAATATCTGATGCCAACCTATCTTTCCTTCCCTCATATAGAACTTGGGCCTTTTTCCTGTGTGCCCAAAGGAGTTGTTCACTTTCATTTTTTCTCTTTTTAAAAATTTATTCTTTAAAAAAAATTTTTTTAATGTTTATTTTTGAGAAGCAGAAAGAGACAGAGCACAAGCAAGGGAGGGGCAGAGAGAGAGGGAGACACAGAATCAGAAGCAGCTCCAGGCTCTGAGCTGTCAGCACAGAGCCCGACGCAGGGCTCGAACCCATGCACTGTGATATCATGACCTGAGCTGAAGTCGGATGCTCAACCGACTGAGCCCCCCAGGCTCCCCCACTTTCATTTTCTTTAGTCTGTTACAATTACCAAAAGATGCCTTAGTGTCTGTCATCCTAGCTATACGGTGTGCCTTTCCACAAGCAGACGCAAGTATTCCTGAATTGCTCAAAAACATTTTTGAATTGTAGTTTCTAAGCATTTGTCCTACAGCACTGCTTTGGTTCCCTTCTCTGAGGACGGTTAAGCATGGCTACGATCCACTGTCTTCCTCATCAAAAGGTGGTGTCTGCCCCCAGCCTTGAATCTGGGCTGGCCCGGACTTGCTTTACCAAGAGTCACACTAGGCCCAGGATGGCTTGCAACTTTGGTGCCTAAACACTGCCCTGTGACAGCCGTGCAGACGGCCTCTGTGAGGCCAGGCACCCACATGGAGGGGAACCGAGGGGCCCAGCGGCAGCCAGCACTTCCTGCTGGACGTGTAAGGCCATCTGGGACGGTGTGGCACTCCTGGCTGTCAGGGGACTGCAAACATGGGAGGGAGCCTGGGTGGACCAGCAGAGCCCACGGACACAGAAGGAAGGATGAATTGCCATCGGAAGCCTCCAAGTTCGGGACAGGCGGTCCCCCAGCGGCAGTCACGGTGGCAGGGGCTCAAGCTGCAGGAGACTTGGGCTTTCCTTATTTATCTTCCATATTTATCAACTGTCACAGCTCTTTTTTTTTATTTTTAATGTTTTTTATTTATTTTTGAGAGTCAGAGAGAGAGACAGAGCAAACAGGGGAGGGTCAGAGAGAGGGGAAGATACAGAATCCAAAACAGGCTCCAGGCTCCGAGCTAGCTGTCAGCACAGAGCCCGACATGGGACTTGAACCCACAAACCAGGATATCATGACCTGAGCTGAATTCGGACACTTAACCGACTGAGCCCCCCAGGTGCCCCATGTCACCACGCTTTTTATCTCTTCACATGTGACATCTTCTGTTTCCTTATTTACTTTGCAAGAGTACGCTTTCCACAGTCTGATCACTTCTGTTCTTCCAGTTCAGTCTCTGTTTCCGACAAAGAAAAACGAGTTTTCTTTGTAACTCGTTCCTGAGCCTGGTAAGCAGTTGCTCCACACCCTTCTATCTGGCTGTTACTTGCTGGGCTTTTCTACCTCTGATTTACACTGTTTGCTCATAGTTTCTATCATTTTCTTATTATCTTTTACCTCGTTTTGAAATATTACATACGGCTTCATCTGCTTTGCAATTGCATCTTCCTGGTGCACATTTGTCATTATGTTGTTACCGAGATCACAATTCTTTTTTTTAAATGCATTTTATTTTATTTTATTTTATTTTATGTTTTATTTATTTCTGAGAGAAAGAGAGAGAGAGAGCATGAACAGGGGAGGGTGAGAGAGAGGGAGAAACAGAATCTGAAACGGGCTCCAGGCTCTGAGCTAGCTGTCAGCACAGAGCCCGATGCGGGGCTTAAACCCACGAACTGTGAGATCATGACCTGAGCCAAAGTCGGACGCTTAACTGACTGAGCCACCCAGGCACCCCTCTTTCTGCTTACAATGCCTCTGTATGATATTTAACTAACCACAATCCTTTTCTGCTACTCATATTTTTTATATAAAGAATTTTTTAATTTCAGAGAGAGAAAGTGAGCGCGAGCAAGGGAGAGGAGCAGAGGGAGAAAGAGAAAGAACTTTAAGCAGCCTCCATGTTCAGCGCAGAGGCCAACACAGGGGTCCATCCCACAACCCTGGGATCGTGACCTGAGCTGAAATCAATAGTCAGATGCTGAGCTGACTAAGCCACCCAGGCACCCCACTGCTGCTCATAATTAAATTAGATGTGTTTTCTTGTATTTTTAAGAATAGGTTCTTTTTTTTAATCTTTTTTTTTTTTTAAGTTTATTTTGAGAGAGACAGAGACAGTGTAAGTGGGGGAGGAGCAGAGAGAGGGAGGGACAGAGAATCCCAAGCAGGCTCCATGGCATCAGCATGGAGCCCAATGCAGGGCTCGAACTCACAAACCATGAAATCATGACCTGAACCCAAACCAAGAGTCAGATGCTTAGCCACGTGAGCCCCCTAGGTGCCCCTAAGAACAGGTTCTTGTATTTGGGATGGAGACAGGTGGGTCCAGGGCTCCCTCTCTGTGGTTACAAGAAGAATTAGGAGTTCCAGGCTCCACGCAGCCACTTCTATAGCACCTGGCCTCTGCATCCCTTCACCAGGCGTCGGCACCTTTGCTCTGCTTTCAATGTTCCTGCCCAGTTCACTGTGGATTCTCTTCCCAACGCTGTGTCTTTAATGTGGGACTCTGTCTTTCTAGAAGTTTCTGGAAGGTATTTCTGAGAGCCTTGGGCCTCTCCAGCATCTTCTGAGTCTTTCTGCACTCACTCTCAAGTGGCAGCCAGTGAAACCTTAGTTCCTCTCACAGAGGGCCTGTTCTGGTGGGGCAATCTTCTGGCTTCTCTGGTCTTGGCCCTGTCAGAATTCCTTCCTCTCCCCAGCACCACCTGCCTGCTTACTAACCCCACATGGGTGTCATGCTGTTTGAGGTTTGGCTATACCGCTTGCGTTTTGGGATTCATGGGGACACCCTCACACCTATTTTTGTTGAAGAAGGTATTAGTTTTCTAGGGTTGCTGTAACAAGTCATCACAAACTGGGTGGCTTAACGCAACAAGAATTTAATCTCGCCAAGTTCTAGGAGTCAGAAAAAAAAAAATCAAGGTGTGGGCAGGGTGGTGCTCTCTCCGAAGGTTCCAGGGAGGAACCTCCTTGCCTCTTCCAGCTTCTGGTGTCTCTGCCAGTCCTGGCGTTCCTTGGCTTGTAGGGGCATCCCTCCGGTCTCTGCCTCTGTCTTCACAGGGTGCCCGGCATCTACATTTCTCTCTTCTCATAAGAACACCACCCACTGGATTAGGGCCACCCCACCCAAGAATGACCTCATCTTAGTGTCGATTGTAACTAAAAAGACCCTATTTCCAAATGAGGTCATGCTCACAGGTATGAATGGTTAGGATTTGAATGTCACCTTTTGTTCAGCCCACAGCAAAGAGGCTGTGGTGTCTTTTGTTGTCCACCCCGCCTCCTTTTGCCCTCCTAGTTGCTCAGTTTTACAAAGGGATTTGGGAAAAACTCAAAACCTATGCTGCTGCCAACATCATGCCCCAGCCTAGAACCTCATGGTTGTACACTAAGTACACATTTCTACAGAATACTCTTCACTACTTTGAAGGCCAAAGCCAAGGCAAGGGAGACTGACTAGAAGGAAAGGGGCTCTTACCTCAGAGAGGTAGGAGACCTTTGGTGGAGCTCCTTTAAGGTCCAGATGAACTAATCGCATCTTAAACGGTGAAGAACCCGACATTTCACTATTTGTCATGAAGTCATATGACAAAAATCTCTGGTCTGGGCACTTCTTCCTAGTGGAGACATTCAAAGTTAGAAATGGGCAGAAGCTCCTTCTTGCCCTTGCCCTTTGTCTTTCTGTTCCGACACGCCCTGGTTTGCTTTATCTGCTAGGAGGAAAGTCATTTAACCAGCATGAAAATGAATCAAGAAATCTACCTCATCTTCAGATAAAGGGACTTCTGCCACTTAATTGTGATTTGCCCCTAAAATAGAACAGCATTGGTTTCCTTACAAGATGGCTATGAGCTGTAATAACACAAGTGACTGCAAAATAATTTTGTTTTAAAGACTGTCTTAAGCTGTACGTACCATGCCAGGGAAAACAGGCAGGTATGTCTAAACATTTTTCAGGGCCTACAGTGGGATGTTTCTGTAGAAAATTTATCCTCAATTTTATTTTACTTGCAAGAGCCTTAAAAATCATTTATTTTTCTAGAGTCCAAGTTAACTTGGTTATATGGAGGAAGAAACTGTAAAAATTAAGTCTCAGAGAAAACTGTCTAGGACTTAAAATATACCATGGATAATTTGAAAAATAAACAAACCACAGTAAATTAGGGCTGACTAGCTTATATTAAAGTACAGGAATATCAAGAAGATAATGAAGTAGTTGGAAAAGACTGAAATCTTTTTTCCCCCCAGTGATTATAACTGCACAAAGGATCAGATGCAAAATGTGAAAGAAAATCTTTGCATATTGGTCATTTTTACAGTCCAATAATTCAAACTACCCATTCTGTGCAAGGATTCATAAACCCCTGACGTTAAGAAATCTATTATAAAGCAGGCAGGATAAAACAGGTGCAACAGAAACCCGTTTGATTTTTTAAAAAAGAAATTATATTCAAAACAATCTCGGGGCGCCTGGGTGGCTCAATCGATTGGGCGACCAACTTCGGCTCAGGTCATGATCTCATGGCTCGTGAGTCTGAGCCCCGCGTCGGGCTCTGTGCTGCCAGCTCAGAGCCTGGAGCCTCCTTCAGTTTCTATGTCTCCCTCTCTCTCTGACCCTCCCCTGCTCACGCTCTCTCTCTCTCTCAGAAATAAATAAAAACATTTAAAAAATTTTTAAAAAAATCAATGACAAAATCTTCGAGGCAATTACCTAAGTTACCAGCTGCCAGGTGGATGAGTTTTATGAATAAGCATTCTGAAAACTGCTTTTAAAGTTGAATTATTTAAAATCGTACAAACCAAATCTACTTTCCAGGGAACAGACTTACAGGAAGGCTGTCAGGCCGAGGATGCGCACTGGGTGTCCGACCCCCCACGCTGGAGAGAAACCCTGTTGCGACCCCTGCACCGCCAAGGTACTTACCCGAGACAGACACAGTGGTTTAACAACGTTAAGTCTCCGCAAAATCTAAAGGAAGAGAACCAGAGAAGTCGGTGTTTCATCGTGTGAAGCGTGTGCTACTGTCTTTGCGCCGATTCCCTCCTGCACGAAGTCTACGGAAATGAGACTCTTCCAAAGGCCTGGGCAGAACGTCACTCGCCCGGCTCCCCGGTGGGTGAGCACCTGGCGCCGGCGGCTCGCTGATGGTGAAGTCACCAAGGCCCTGCACGGCCCCCGGGCCTCCTTCAGACCGGGGTGGCGCGAACACTCTCTCCCCCGGGGTCAGGGAGCTGCTCACCGTCTCCAGACTCCGTCCTCACGGACGAACCTCGCTGGGGACTGCGCTCCTCCGGAATCGGGGGCTGTTGAGACGCCGCTTCTCGTCCACTGGACACGGAAGGCTGCAAACCAGCAGGGCCTTGGGGAGACACGCGTGTACTGAGCACCAGTACCCTCAGGGCTGGTGCAGACCCCAGGGAGGGAAACGGAGACCCTGGGAGGAGGGCTGGAAGGTACTCCCCACCCCCGCCGCGTCCCCGCCTCCGGAAGGGCTTGGAGACCCCCGAGAAGAGCCCTGTGACCCTGGCAGGAGGGCCCTGAGGAGGGAGGGGCTCGGGGATCCGGAGGCGGGCCCGGGGACCCCGGACGGGGGCGCGCACGGCGGGCGAGGACGCGCTTCGGACTGCAGGCGGGTTCCGGGGACGCAGAGGCGGGCGGCGAGCGCCCCGCGCGGCGTTCGGCCTCCGATTGCCTGGGCCTGGCCGCCAGGCGCGGGGTCGACGGCCGAGCGCGTCGCTCTGCGTCCCAGGCCGCGCAGGCCCCGCGCGTCCCCTCGCGGCGCTCGTCCCCGGCTCGGGGGGCTCCCGCGTCCGCCCGGCTCCGCAGCGGCCCGGCGCGATGGCGCCTCAGAGGAGGGGCGCGCCCAGGGCGCCCGAGGGCAGCGGGGCGGCAGAGCGGCGGCGTCCGCGCAGGTACGGGGCCGCGCGGGCAGGGCCGAGCTTCGCCCGGCGGCGCGGGGCCGCGTTGTGGGCGTGGTCAGAGGAGGGGCGTGGCCTCGGGAGCGCGTGCTGGGCCGCTGGGCGGACTCCCCCGCCTCCCGCGAGAGGTCTGTGATCCGCGTTTAAAATGGTCAGGTATCCACTCACCGTGGTCTTAACAGTGATGCGCCCACCTTGGGATTTATTTAATTGGAATTCGTTTTATTCATATAGCACTGCAAAGAAGTGAGGCACATAAAAATAAGTCAGATTCCCTACTTTTCAAGAATTAATTACATACTTAAAGAAAGGGTGCCTTGATTTTTTTTCTTACTTTTTGCAAGTTCTTTAAGCCCTACGGTCACCAGTTCTTTCCCAGACAACAGAACACACAGCTTCTGTTACATGCGTGGACACACACATTCACGTACACGGACACAAGAGACGCACACATGGGCACATACATGGATATGGATGTGCACACACATGCATGTGACATCAGCAGTTACGTTAGTTAGTTAGACGTACAGTTAACCCAGGTTGTGCAAAAAGTGTCTTAATTCGAATCATTTTCATTGTGCTTGTAATTCTCTTCCTGGCTGGCTTGTGGGTTTCGCGTCCTGTGTGCCAGGGGCACATGTGTGTTTATGGAGAGTCACTTTCAGTTGCAGGGAATGTGACTGGCTGTATAGATTCAGGTTCTCCATGGGCTTGGCTGGGCTGCGAGGGACACTGGCCGCCAGCTCATCTTGTTGCCAGTACAGGGCACAGTGAGCCCTGCCTGGTCAGATGGGGCGGGGGCCACACTCCCCACCATATCCTCTCAGGCTGGCAGGTGCCCCTGGATTGCTTGAGAGTAGCTCTGGCCTCTGTTATGGCAGGAGCAGTTTAAGGCTCGCCGTGACTGAGTGTGGGCCTGGTCCCTGGTCATTGTGGCACATGTGAGTGTGGTTGTGTTTTGTCCTCAGCACGAAGAATGTCCAGGCACCACGGGAGGTGTGGAGGAAGTGGCTGGGGACCACCATCCTGGGGATCTGGGCCGTGCTTGCTGGGCTCCTGCTCTGGAGCAGCCTGGGGGGTGATGATGGCGTCACTGAGGTCCTGGCTCACCGTTGGGAGATCCTGCCTGGCAGGTTCATTGAGGTGCCCTGCTCAGAGGACTATGACAGTCACCGAAGGTTTGAAGGTAGGCGATGCAGCTGTGGTCTGGGAAAGAGTTGCATGTGAGCATGGAACGCGGTGCGTTTGAGATGCGTCGGTCTTTTGCTGTAGCAACGTGGTATGGGGGCCAGGGGAGTACCAACTTTCCCTCCTTCAGGTCGGTTAACCCACGCGTGGGCTGGGACGTGCAGGGCCAGGCCTGCTGGTCACCGAGGTGCCCCATGCTGTGGGCACTTTCTGACGGAGGAGACGGATTGCTTGTAGGGACATAACGATTGGAAAAGCAAGGATTAGAAAGTTGAAACCAGAAAAGGCATTAGCTGTAGAGTGTTATTGGGTGTATTCGCTGCAGAACATGTTCCAGTGAGAAATGTCCCTACCAGAAGCCCTTCCCCGCTGTGTGTAGTGTGTCCCCTCCTGAGGACAGGAGGGGAATGGCGCCCCGAGGGGCGGCCGCCCTTGAGTTCAGCACCCTGGAGAGCGCTGTAGGCTTCCTCTCCCGCTGCAGAGATGCTTTCTCAGGTTTAAAACCCTAGCCTGCGCCACTGGGTTTTATTTATTTTATTTTATTTTTTATTTTATTAAAATTTTTCATGTCTTTATTTTTATTTTTTTGAGAGACAGAGACAGAGAGCGAGCGGGGGAGGGTCAGAGAGAGAGGGAGACACAGAATCTGAAGCAGGCTCCAGGCTCTTGAGCTGTCAGCACAGAGCCCGACGCGGGGCTCGAACCCACGAACTGTGTGAGATCATGACCCGAGCTGAAGTCAGACGCTTAACTGACTGAGCCACCCAGGCACCCGCCAGTGGGTTTTAAAGACAGAATTCAGTAAATGTTTTAATTCAGAGCAATGCTTTGGACCTGAACTGGGAGACAGTTGCCGAGTCTTTCCACTGAGGGGTGCTGTGGTGACGCACACCAGTGGGGATTACCTCCCCCTGACTCCCTAAGCCTTTCCCTCTTTCCCTCAGTGTCCCAGCTTTTGAGAAAGTATTTTTCAAGTAGTTAGAACCGAAATGTTTCTTCTTGCCCATTTAATAATAATTTAGCCACATTAAAACAGTTTGCTTGAGGAGAGGGGAATGGGGAGTTATTATGTAATGGGCACAGGGTTCCAGTTTGGGACGGTGAAGATATTCTGGAGATGAATGTTGATGTTAGCACAACCGTATGAATTTGCCGGATATCCTTGAACTTGTACACTTAAAAATGGTTTCAATGGGAGGCACCTGGGTTCTCAGTCGGTTAAGTGTCCGACTTTAGTTCAGGTCATGAACCCTCAGTTTGTGATTTCGAGTCCAGCCATGGGCTGTCTTGCACTCAACACAGAGCCTGCTTCCGATCCTCTGTCTCCCCTCTCTCTCTGCCCCTCCCTCACTTGTGTTCTTTCTCTCTCCAAATAAATAAATAAATCTTTAATAAATGGTTGCATTTTTTAAAAACATTTGTTTCTATCTTAATTGTGTTGTAGATAGATAACATAATCTGTGTGATATAGATCCTCTGATATTGGCTCAGACTTTCTTTTAGTGTTTTTGCAAATGTTCCACATATACCTGGAAAAATGTTTCCTAACGGTTGCATGCAAAGTTCTATGTAATTCTCCTAGTCTCCTACCTTGTGCACAAACCCTCTATATCCTCATGGATTTCTGTCTCCTCTGTCTGTCGATTACTGAAGAGGCATGCGGGAATCTCCCCTTGACTGTGGGTTTGGTAGCTTCTGTCATGTTGGCTGTTTTGCATTCGAGATGATACTATCTAGTGCTGTTTGTCAACCTTCATCTTCCTGGTGAATTGCTCTATCACCTCTAGATGTGATCCTCTTTTTCCCTGTAATGATTCCTTTGCCTTAAAGTACGTTAGTTATCCATATATCACTCTCCAAGCTTTCTTTTGGTAATCATTGTATTTGCTTTTATGTTTAACCCTTCTGTGTCATTATATTTAGGGAGTGACCCTTATAAAAAGCATACACCTAGCTTTTGTTTATAATGAAAACACCTGTGTCAGTAGGATTGTATTTAGCCTTCTTGAACTGAGGCACCCCTCCCCCGATGGCCCCCAAGTAGAAGTTTATTTTCCCCCTGGCCTGGTGCTCTGTGAGCCCCTCACCACTTGCACTCAGTGTGTGGCTCACATGGTCTCAGGACACTCGCTCTACCTCCAGGCCCCAGGCTCATGTTCCAGGCAAGAAGTGGGGGAAAGGATGAAAAGTTAAAGGTGAACCCAACAGGTCCTGAGGATGTCCCAAGGCTCCGTATCGTTGGCCAGGACCTGTCCGTGGCCCACCTAGTACGAGAGAGCTGGCCCACCCTAAGTGCTGAAATACAGAGAGTTTGCTGAGCCTGTCCATCCCTGATGCTCTGCCTCCTCCTGGCCCCATCCACCAACTGGGCTTCTCTTCCCTCATGCCCGTAAGCAGCTGCCCATCCTGGTTGCAGAGAGGCCGAGGGAGCTTAGGGTAGGACATGTGGTGAACACCTTTGGTGGCAGCATTTGCTGGGTCTCTGGGACAAGACAGTGACTAGAATTACAAACACAGCTTCAGTTGTCCTGGAAGGACTTTCTCATGGGGGCTTAGGAAGGCTGGGTCTGTGGTCATGGATTGTCATGGATGCTGCCTCTGGGGTGGTTCAGGGCTCTCTTCCCAAGGGTAAGCAAAGGGCCAGATGCTTCCCAGTGTCCAGCCTGGTGTGGGGCCACCAGGAATGTGCTGTGCCCAGTGGGGTGTCAGTGTGCCCTGCACAGGATGTACTTACGCTGAAGAGTCATTGTTGTTTCTCTGAAAGTCATACCTATTTAGGTGTTCTGTATTTTATTTTATTTTTTTAATGTTTATTTATTTATTGAGGCGGGGGGGGGGGCGTGCAGAAAGAGAGGGGGAGAGAGAGAGAATCCCAAGTAGGCTCCATGCTGTCAGCACGGAGCCTGATGTGGGCCTTGACCTCCCGAACCGTGAGATCATGACCTGAGCCGAAATCAAGAGTTGGATGCTTCACCAACTGAGCCACCAGTGTTCTGCATTTTGTTTGCCAAATCTTTCCCCCCAATCCTGTGGAAGGCACAGTCTCACCCTACAAAATTGTCCCTGGAGAAGGCTCGCTACTGGTAAGTCCTCAACAAATGCAAATAGCTTTGTGTGGGGGATTCAGCCAGCATCTCATCGCGCTCATCTCTCTCCAGGCTGCTCCCCCAGGAAGTGTGGGCGGGGCATCACTGACACCGTCATCACCAGGGATGAGGCCCAGCGGATTCGCAGGTACCCAAGCCTTTTCTGTCCTGAACAAGTGTGACGGTGGGGCTGGGGGACAGGAAGCAGACAATTCCTACTAAAAAGATGATTTAAAGAAATTAAATTAGAACTTGGTAGGAATTCTCTTGTATGCTTCCAAGGGCAAAGGTAGGCTTTTACAGTTTCCAGGAGCGAAGGCTATTGTCCTCAGTGACGTGGTTGCTGATGGAACCGGCCAGAGGCCTAACCGCTCTTCAGGGGAAGTGGTTCTGGCCTGCACTGGAGGTCAGGGGTGGTGCTGCTTCCATCAGCTGCTGGGGGAGCCCTGGGGCACCAGTGTAGAGACCCCCACAAC